AAACCAACAAGATTTTACTGTATGGAGCAAGAAATCTTAAAGAATTCAAAGATAAGCTGAAAATATATGGGGAGATGAAAAATAAAATTAAATATTCTGGTTATTCTTCCAACAGAGATACATGGAAAAATGATAGACAGAATAGAAGAGATGAAAGGACAGAAGAAAAATACCATAATCACACAAGAATCCGTTGTTTCAATTGTGGAATGAATGGACACAAATCCCAAGATTGTCGAAGCAAAACATTAGGCGCAAAATGTTTCAAATGTAATAGGTATGGACACAAATCATTTGAATGTTCGTCGGTGAATAGTACTAATCGCACAGAACCTAATATGCCACGAAGAAATCAGGAATTTACCCCAACGACGACCCGTGCAGAACCTTCAGTCAATGAAATCACACAGAATCATCTTCAGACAATGTATAAGATGGTAAGATTGAACGAACACCTTATCAATGTGCTGATTGATACAGGCAGTCATGTAAATATCATTACTGAAAATACTCACTTCTCCATTGGTTCTCCACCACTTACTAACTCAACTATCAAGCTGACCGGATTTGGAAGATCATCTGTTAATACTTTAGGGAAATTTGAAGGATATATTGAAGTTGATGGTAGCAATTTTGTGTCTACAGTTCATGTTGTACCTAATGAAACAATATCGATGCAAGCTATCATAGGAACTGAGTTACTGAATAAAGCCGAAATTTCTATTGATGAAAATGGAATTATTATAAGAAAACGCCAAGAAAATCAATGGTTATTGAATATCCAGATAAATGAAACTGAAGAATTGAACGTAGGAGAAGACATAAGTTCAGAACTGAAAGAAGATATATTAGAAGTAGTGAATAATTATAAGCCTGAAAAAATTAAATATACAGATGTGGAAATGAAAATAACTGTCAAAGATGACCAACCGATATATTCAAATCCAAGACGATTACCTTATGCAGAGAGAGAAGTTGTGGACAAACAGATAGAAGAATGGATTAAGGAAGGGATTGTGGAACCATGTAGCTCGGAATATGCAAGTCCAGTAGTTTTGGTGAAGAAAAAATGTGGATCCTATAGACTATGTGTTGATTATAGGAGAATCAATAAAATAATAGTGAAAGATAGATTTCCACTACCACTAATAGAGGATCAACTCGACAAATTACAAGACGCTCGAATTTTCACTACCATGGATTTGAAAAATGGATTTTTCCATGTTGCAGTCGAAGAGAATAGTAGGAAGTATACATCTTTCGTAACCCATAATGGACAATATCAATTTCTGAAAACACCTTTCGGACTTTGCAATTCTCCAGCAATATTCCAACGTTACATAAATCGAATTTTTAGTGATCTTGAAAAACAAGGAATTGTTATGTTATATTTGGACGATTTGATAATTCCTGCAGAAAATGAATTTGAGGCGATGAAGAAATTGAAAATGGTTTTGAAGGTGGCCAGTGATTATGGACTCGAAATAAATAAGAAGAAATGTCAGTTTTTAAAACGAAGAGTTGAATTTTTGGGTCATTTGATAGAAAATGGACAGATATTTCCTTCTAAAACTAAAACTGAAGCGGTACTGAAGTACCCAGAACCTACGAACATCAAACAAGTTCAAAGTTTTCTAGGTTTAACAGGATACTTTAGGAAATTCATCCAGTCATATTCCTTGATTGCAAGACCGTTGAGTGATCTCACGAAGAAAGATCGAACATTTCGATTCAATGATTGCGAAAGAGTAGCATTCAATAAACTGAAACAAATATTATCGAGTAAACCTGTATTGAATATTTATCGAAGAGGTGCTGAATTGGAGTTGCACACAGATGCAGCACAAGAAGGATATGGAGCTATTTTAATGCAAAGATCCCACGAAGATAATAGTTTACATCCCATATATTATATGAGCAAAAAGACGACAGACGCCGAGAAGAAATACAGCTCTTACCAATTAGAATGTTTGGCAATTATAGAAGCTTTAAAGAAATTTAGAGTTTATCTCTTAGGAACAAAATTTAAAATAAGAACAGACTGTTCTGCGTTCCAGAAAACGATGTACAAGAAAGATCTCACTCCACAAGTCGCCAGATGGGCACTACTCCTGGAAGAATTTGATTATACCATAGAGCATCGGTCAGGAGATCGTATGCGCCATGTTGATGCTCTTAGCAGGTACCCGATTATGGTTATCACAAGTGATATTGCGTCGATCCAAATGAGAAAAGCACAAGATGATGATCCAGAGTTAAGAGCTATTAAGGAAATATTGAAAGAGAAGCCATACGAAGACTATCTATTGAAGAATGATGTAATTCACAAAGTTGTAAAAGGAAATGAATTATTGGTTATACCCAGAAGCATACAATCGAAGATTATCAAGGAAGCTCATGAGGAAGGACACTTCGCTGCAAGGAAAACAGAAGAAATTCTTCATAGAAATTATTTCATACCGAAAATGAAAGAGAAGGTTGAAAGATGTATTCAGTCATGTGTTATATGTCTATTAGCAAACCGAAAACGTGGAAAACAGGAAGGATTCTTACAACCATTGCAAAAAGATGATATTCCTTTACAAACTTATCATGTTGACCATTTGGGACCACTGGAATCTACCAATAAAAACTACAACCATATTTTCGCTGTTGTGGACTCATTTACGAAATATATATGGCTCTATCCGACGAAGTCGACTACTAGTAAAGAAGTAATAGCAAAGCTAGAAGTACAGAAGAAGAATTTTGGGAATCCATTAAATATAATTTCAGACAGAGGGTCAGCATTCAATTCTCAAGAGTTCCAAGACTATTGTAGAAATGAAGGAATCAAACATTTCATGATAACTACCGGTCTTCCGAGGGCAAATGGACAAATTGAGAGAGTGAACTCAATAATAATTTCAGTTTTGACCAAATTGTCAAACGAAGATCCTACCAAGTGGTACAAATACGTAGATCAGGTGCAGAGAGTTGTGAATGCCTCATTTCAAAGATGTATCAACACCACACCATTTGAATTATTATTAGGGGTGAAGATGCGAAATAAGATGGAAACTGAAATTAAGAAAGCGATAGAAGAAGAAGCACAAGTTTTGTTCGAAGAAACAAGAGAAGACTTGCGAAGAGAAGCTAAGAAGCAGATACTCAAAGTCCAGGACGAAAATAGGAAGACATACAATTTGAGAAGAAAAGATCCTAACAAATATGGAGTTGGTGATTTTGTAGCTATTAAACGAGTTCAACAAGGCCCAGGACTAAAACTGAAGTCGAAATATTTGGGACCTTATCGAGTTACGAAAGTAAAGGGCCATGATACATATGACGTCAAGAAAGAAGGATATCACGAGGGACCAGTCAACACATCTACATGCGCCGAGTACATGAAGAAGTGGAATGAAGAAGATTCATCCGAGACGGACGAATTTCAGGATGGCCGAGTTGTAGGATAGCATCCTGTATATAAATGAGATGAATGAAAGAAGTAATGTATGACGTGTGATAGTAGAAAGACGAGAGTACGACGTGTCAAGAAGATATGTGTGTTATTTGTTGTATTTTAGCAGTATTTATGTTGAAATATACCTATTCGTTCCGTAAAGTTGCCTCAATCCTATATATCTATGCTCGGTATTTCCATCAGCAACACTCTTTCATGGAATAATCATGTCAGATCTATCGCAAAAGCTGCTTCACAAAAACTCGGATTCTTACTCCGTGCGAAAAGCTACTTTACACCTCAACAGCTTCTCATGATCTACAAAGCGCAGATACGGCCTGTTCGCCATTCGCCTAGTGGGTGACGCCACACTCACTCACTCTTTGACATCATTGGAACACCGTAGAAAGGTCGGCGACCTTTCACTTTTCTATCGATACTTCCACGGGAAATGTTCTTCGGAAATCTCTGCTATCATCCCTTCATAGCAATACCAGTCACACGAACTAGACAAGCCCAGTCAGCACATCGTTCCGTTGTCAACCTTGAAAGATGTCGAACAGCACTTTATCAAAACTCCTTCATTCATAGAATAGCTATAGGCTCTGGAATTCATTGCCTGAGGAAGTATCCCCAACGACATATAATCTTCAGAAGTTCAAAAAAAAATCCAATACCTTCCTCCTGTCCCTATCCTCCCTAGGAACGCACGATGTTCTTTGAACATTATAGGGATTTCCTTTCGTGCGCTCCATGCGATAAAAAAAAGAATGATAAGATCAATTATTTTATTCTAACTACAGTATTTTTATTAATTTTATTAGTTTTAGAGATATCTAACATAGTTAATTTTGGTGCTTCTTCATCTATTGATCACAATAATCATGTATATGAACTACTTTAGCATATGATAATAGTTCTGGAGAATTTTTTTTTCATGGTTGGGTTCCCACGGAAAGGGATATCCTGTAATAAGGATCCTGTAATGTTCAGAGAAGATCGTGAGAATCAAGGGAAATAAGGTAGGAATTGGTGTTCTTCTTAAATTTCTGGTGGTTATATGCCTCGGGAAACACCTCCCTTGGCAAGGTGTTCCAGAGTCTCGCTGCAGGTCTCCAAAGTGACCACGAAGGGGTGCGAAGCCTCAACTTGACAGGTTAATCTCCCGGGGACTGCCAATGGAGGAACAATTGTTGATATTTCAGAAGAGTATCGTCCATGAAAATATCTATAAAATATGGCCAGATCGCCAACTTTTCTACGGTGTTCCAGAGAAGTGAGTGAGTTTGTGAGCGAGGCATCACCCACGAGACGAATTGCCTTTTTTTGGACAGAATCCAACAATTTCAGGGTATGTTTGGGTGCTGCACTCCAAATATGGGAACAGTATTCCAGGACAGGTCGGATCTGTGCCTTATAGATCATAAGCAGCTGACTGGAAGTGAAATTACTAGTGGCTCGAAACAGAAAACCAAGTGTTTGGGTTGCACTCTTAGCAATTGATCTCACGTGATTTTTCCAAGAAAGGTTATTGCTGATAGTAATACCAAGCATCGAAATGGATGTCTTCAAAGGTATGGTTACTCCTGACAAGCTTATGTTGGGCACAGTGAGATCATCTTCAATTTTTTTTCGAATAAAGTATTTTTGCGAGGAAAAAATGAATTAAATCTGGAAAGGACCAGCTACCAATTCATAGTATGATGATGAACCATATAGTGACAGAGTTGATGGTACGTTGTTCTGAGACACCTTGTATATGGTTCAAATTCAAGATTGGAGAACTTGCCACTTTTCCAGAAACCTCCATGGTATTTTGTACACTATTCTGACTCTAACCAAGAAAATTCCAACTTGTCCTCTGTGAACAACACCATTCAAGTTTTAGGTGGCAGAGATGATCGTATTCTGACACTTTTAGCGGAAAAACTCAATTTCAAGTACTTATATTCAACCAAAACTACTCTGGCCCATGCATTCAAAGGATTATTATTTTTTAGGTACCACTATTTCGATCCTCCAGAGAGAACACAAGGAACCTCTGACTCGGAGGGTGGATTTTTCAATGGAGTCATCGGTCTTATTTGGAGAAGGGTATAACATTCATATTTCTTTATCTGAATAAGGGATTCGTATTTTGTGGTTTACTAAGTCAGGTTCAACAGCCTGTTCGCCATGAAGTTTTCTGTGTCGTACTAGGACGCAAATCTTCATCCGTGTTCATTCATAAAAATACCCATTCACTAACTCAAAGACCATGTACTGTGTATGAGCAAAGGTTTGAAATACCTACCAAATCAGGCATTTTGGTTGAAAAAATCCAACAAGGGTCATAACAATTCATCGAATGGGGAACTTTGCTCCAAGTTGCCAAACTAAAAACCTTTACCAATGTAGAAGCAACTATATGGAAGTTTTATTACTCAAATGGCTTAATTTTGAAGTTATTCAGAAGAAAAATTAATTTTTGTGAACTCCAGTTCTGATTAGACGAAAATTATATTGATGCACCTGCTTTCATTCTGGAATATGTCATATCGTCGTCAATTTTATTACTAGTCACATTTTTGTTACATATTCAAAATTATTTTATTCATGGACAACTCTATATTATTTATCAATCTTTGGTAAAGAAGTTTGATCGTTGCAGTAGGAATCTGTTCTAAAAATCGATACAGACATGACTAATAAAATAATGAAGTATCAACCTTTTCCAGAAATGAAAAACAACCCAAGGATGTGTCTTTAAGTGGATGAAATCATAATTGTGTGGAATCGAAGAAATCACAGTCGATATCACAAATAAAAATACCAACATACCTATGTAATAATAGGAAATCATTCAATGAATACTCAAATTACACGTCTCACCTTGGATAAAGACTGGTCAAATATAATACAATAAATATAGACCTAATGAAACAATGTTATCTTCATTACCATAACGATGAGTTGAGACTCGAGAGTAGCCCCAGACCAGATAACTTTATTGGAACCCTCACATCCAGTTTATTATAGGTTTGCACATTTGTCATGAGAGTTTCTTGATCATTATTCGAAATTCGAACGTGATTAGAACTTACTGATTTATTGATTCATTAGGCCTGTTCGTTTGTGTTTGCTCTACCTGCTTAACTCTATGACTTTAAAATTAAATCAGATATTGGTAAAAAATCCATCTATCACATGGAATGACTTGAAGCTGATTAATAGGATTGAAAAATTTAAAAGAGAATTCAAGAAACATCTACTTCTGTAATATTGACATCTTATCTCATTTTTATAGTTTTCTTGTACAACTACTATTGGGTACTTAACAGCCAGAGATTATGGTGTGTATAATCTTTGTAACAGCTGAGTCAATTGAGAATCATTTTCAGTTGAACTTGAGTGTGAGTCTTATTTTACTGTCTTCTTTATTTTATTTTGTCAAATATATTCATGAATTCACCATGTTCCCTGCTATGAACAAATGTTGTTTCTTGGGATTGGGCGTGTACACCTTAGTAGAACTTTTAACTCAAACCAATGATTGACGACATAATTCGATCGGAAAATTAACTGGAATGTTTCATTTTTAGACATAAATAATAGTACCTTCACACAACGGGCCCTCTTATGACGAAGAAACCTCATCTCGCCATAGTTAAAAGAAAATACCAAACGCCGGACGGAGACTGAGGCAACTGATATATTAATTCTTTCAACTGTGATCTCGCGCTAATTTACTCTGTCAGAAATCATGTATCATTCATCTCTGTCTGGAATAGTCTTGTTTCAGTATTAGGGTTTTGACGTCACATCATCGCCTCGTTTTCAGAGGTCCGAAAAATCGGGGATTTCAATAATTTTTTACAAAACGTAGGAAGCTCACAGCAAGAAACGGTTTGCGGTGGTGAGCTAGTTTGGGTGAGTTCTATCGAATTATGAAATGAAAATTTTTTGTGATATAAGCCCCGATTTGTTTACATTATGCCAAGATTAAAGACAACTATGAGATTGAAATCAACTTTAGCAAGTTCAGCTACACAAACGAACACACCTATGGATGTACCATTTTTACTAGTGGAACTACTGACACTATTGATAGCATTGACATTTCAGTATTGACGTACCGGTCGGATGTGAAGTTCACGAAAACTAATTTTTCTTCTGAATAACTTTCATTAGGAAGCTGATTAGACTCCTATCAGATTTCCCAAAAATGAAGCTATTTGAGATATCAAACTTCCATAATATGTAGCGAAGTCCCCCATTGAAGTTATAATGAGTCAAACTTGATCAAAAACTTCGAAAACTCGAATGTTGACCAGTGTATATTTATTCTGTTTTTTCTTATTTTTTTTCTGAAGGAGGCGGATCTTGTTCTGGGAGACGTAGGATTAACGTACGAAAGATCGAACTTCGTCGAATTTTCTTTTATAACGTTAGCAGACAGCGGTGCCTTTGTCACGCATGCGCCTAGCGGACTGAACGAAGCTTTGGCTTTATTGCGACCATTCCAGTGGCAGGTTGGTATGAGTCATGATGGAGTCATGTGACATGTCATTTCCTTTCATTTGAGAAAGGCTTCGCTCAATTCAAATAATAATTTTAGAAGACAATGCCCTAACCTAACCGAACCCAACTTCGTCTTTTCTATCCATCCCTCTGTCAAGATTCTACAGTGTGTCCCAGCTAAAACTTGTCACCCTCCTTATCAGCTATATCTCCGTATAGCCGTTTGAAAAAAACACATCGAACTTTGTATTGTTCGATTTGTAATCATAATCACTAACCGATCATGGAGTAAAATACAGGGTGTTCCATTTGAAAATCGAAAGTTGATGTCCGCTTCGCTTCAAGGTTTTAAATTTGGGATATTTTAATTACAGAAAAATGTATCCTTCGCCAAATTAAAATAGTCTTATCAAAGCCATTGTATAAAATATTCATAATACATGTACTTCCTTAAGCAAAACGGTAGCCATTTTCTCACCAGTGAATAATAGCAGTGAATAACCATAATTCACTGGTCTAGAGTTCCTAGGGTAGGCGATATAACATATGAGGAACTTTAGACCAGTGAATACTGATTATTCACCGCTATTATTCACTGGTGTGAAAAATTGCTATCGTTTTGTTTGAGGAAGTACAACAGTCGTGGACAAATAATTAATATAGCAGGTATCTTCAATTTTTAGTTTTCTCAATGTCAAATGAGTTATGATAAAACAGTCCTTGAGAATAAATTCATATATCAAAAACTATAATAGTCGTGGACAAAGTATAGTATTCCACTCGTATGTAATGAGCTATCAATTCAGTCAGGTTAAATAGGCCACTCGCTACGCTCTTGACATAAACTTAACCTCCGTGAATAAAAGCCTTCACTATATGCTAGTTGAATAATATACTATTTCTGCTGCTGAGTTTTCAGGTTTGGCCAGCCATAGGAATTACATTTCTAGTAGTCGGTCCAGTTTTCTACGTCATAATAGCGTTACCAAACGCCTGGCAACCTAGATTCAGGGTCAGATCTCATGCGAGGTTGTTCTTCGACTGTGCCTGGTTCACAGTCACGATTTTGTTGAAACAAAGTGAGCATATTTAATTCGTTATTTTATGCACGACCGGACGTAAAATGGCACTTTATCGCTTGGATTCACGGGCGTAAAGTAGCACTTTATAAGCGCCCTAGAGCGGTAAAGGAGTACAACGGGCGGTAAAGTAGTCCAGCAGTCGCTCATCCATTGTTTTTCAAGGAATTTCTCTACCATTCAAATTGAAAATTATTAATAAATTCCATATTCACATCAGGCAATACATGTCTAAAACGGTCTTGCCTAAAATTTTGTATGTATTTCAGGCGTAACTTGCTTTAAGCACCTCTTACTTACGCGCTGCGTTCCATAAATGACTACTTTACGCCCTTGATACATAAGTTACTATTATTGTGCTGCTTTTCAATTTCTGAGATTTTTTTAGCTGGCAGAGAGCTGACTTCCAGCCACAAAGCGAGGTTTTTCATAGCCCTCCTCTCGGTTTCGGCAACGTACGTCATCAGTGACATGTACTCGGCCAATCTCACGTCACTGCTAGCTCGACCTGGTAGAGGTGATCAAATCGCTTAACCATGATAACTTTTTTCTACAAACACTATTGAAACTTCGCCAGTGTTGAAAATAAAAAATATATCGAAGAGAAAAGACCCAAAGTCCTCTTCACAAGTTTTTGTTTTTTAAATTAATAAGCAGAATTGCCTGCACACTTAGCCATTAAACTTGTGGAGACGACTTTGGATTTTTTCTCTTTGATCATCCCCCTCCACTTCGAGCATGGACTACTTCAGAAGATTTTTTTAAGAAATATATATTATAAGAACCAATAAGATTTCTTCAATTTCCTGAATCCAACAAATCACCTGGAATTTGTAGTGTTTAAAAGCTACCTAGCTTTCCTAATAACCGATAGATATGCACCTTGCTTTCAATCACCACATTCTTCTTTGGCAACTATACTGTCTAAGCCTCAGCTGCTCATTGGGGAAGTATGCCTCAGTTTTTCAAGCAGAGGTAGACGCAATTTCCCAATGTGATGAAGAAAATAACAGGAGAACCGTGGAAAATTAGCAGATCCGTATTATGTCAGACAGTCAAGCGGTACTGTAGGCAATAGAAAGCCAGGAAGTGACATCTCGACTGGAAGATTGCAAGAGGAAACTGAGAACTTTGGCAGACCAGGACTGCGTCAAGCTAATCTGGGTGCCAGGACATCAGGGGATCGCTGGCAATGAGAAGGCTGATGAACTTTCAAGAAGAGGGTCGGACAACGAGCCAGATACAGACAGTGAAACGTACAGCACGAGAGTTAGTTGAAGACTGGATTCAGGCAAAACATAAGAGCTAGGTACTGGGAAAACATCCCAAGAAACAGACATGGGAAACAATACATTAAGGGACCAAGCCATAAACGAACTGTAGACCTGCTCAACTTGACCAGAGTACAGATGAAAACTGTTACGAGACTCATGACTGGCCAGTGACCATGCGCCAGTAAAGGAGCACCTCAACAGAATGGGACTGTATAATGGCATCCCAAGCTGCAGATTATGCGGAAAGGAACCAGAAACAGTATCACATATAGTGCAGATGCGAGGCAAAAGACAGAAGATTTTTGGGCAACCAGTTGGCGAACCAGAAGTATTTAACTCACATCCAGTGAAGGATCTGTACAGACTTGTTCAATGTAAAGAGATAATGGAGTGGGCACAATGAAAAAAAACCTACTAAGTAAGACGGTAAGATACAATGGGCCACCAGACCTAAGTGTCGTCGGAGAAATTGTCAGGACAAGCGGGGTGGGATGTTTAGTGGGTATACCCTGGCGAGATTTAGGGTACTCCCACACTATCATATGGGGGATTAGACCCATATAATCATGTCAGATCCATCGCAAAAGCTGCTTTACAAAAACTCGGATTCTTGCTCCGTGCGAAAAGCTACTTTACACCTCAACAGCTTCTCATGATCTACAAAGCGCAGATACGGCCTGTTCTAGAATACTGTTCCCACATATGGGGTTCAGCACCAAAACATACGCTGATGCTCTTAGATTCTATCCAGAGAAGAGCTATTCGCCTGGTGGGTGACGCCACACTCACTCACTCTTTGACATCATTAGAACACCGTAGAAAGGTCGGCGACCTTTCACTTTTCTATCGATACTTCCACGGAAAATGTTCTTCGGAAATCTCTGCTATCATCCCTTCACTAGCAATACCAATCAGACGAACTAGACAAGCCCAGTCAGCACATCCTTTCGTTGTCTACCTCGAAAGATGTCGAACAGCACTTTATCAAGACTCCTTCACCCATAGAACGGCTAGGCTCTGGAATTCATTGCCTGTGGAAGTATTCCCAACAACTTATGATCTCCAAAAGTTCAAAACAAATTCCAATACCTACCTCCTGTCCCTATCCTCCCTAGGAACGCACGATATTCTTTGAACATTATAGGGATTCTTTTTCGTGCGCTCCAAGCGATAAAAAAATATATGATGTCCATAAAGGATTTCAACCACCTCGAAATAAAAACTATACTGTCACCGTCACTATATACCGTCAGATAATTTCCGAATTATCTCCACACCGCGTCGTTTCTTCTGTCTTTATACTGTAGTTGTGTATTAATATTAATCTCCCATTCTAGAAATGTTTTTATTGATAAATCCATTTCAAGTTTTATCGTTTTGGCTGCTTCAATTATTTTAGCAAATAGACTCACTTGTAAATTTTCCATTCAAAGTTGACACTTCTCAAGAAAAATTACAAATTTGGCAACTAACAACAATAAACAATGGTTGGTATGTAATTGAAAAGAAGAAAATTTGAGCAAAGGATTACTACTAGATAATTTTTGTTTAATATTTTGGAGGTCTTGATAGTAACAATAGTGTTTGTAGAAAAATCTTTGCATGATATACTTGTTAAAAGTGCTCTTTTATTTTGTGAGAAGGAAGTTTGAGACACTACTATACTATCTTTTTTCGTATTTAGAAAAAGCCATACATAACCTCTACCATTTAGAAGATGCCATGAAAACGAGGGATGTTAAACTCTTCGTAGAACAACACAGTTCATCTTACGGTCTTCTAGAAGTAAATCTGAAATCGACTCTCCATGCGATGAAATCAATTCAGCGCCCTTTCTTTTTCAGAATGGGACCGGAATTTATGCAAGACTATGGGACCTCATGGAAAACAGACAAAATGGGAATTTCCTGGTCAAATCAGTCGAAGAAGGAGTGAAATTAGTAAGAGATGCCAGGAATATCGCTGTTATGGCAGGAAGAGAAACTCTGTTCTTCGATATACAAAGATTTGGTGAAAAATATAGTCTACTATACAGGATGTATCTAAAAAACACCAAAAAAATTCAAGGGTTGATTCCAGGTGATAATTTAGGAAATAAAGTTCATATGGACATGTGTCCTAACTTGCTTCGTTTTCGAGATACAGGGTATTAATATTTCCATGTAAAATCGTTTTTTTGAATCATTACTCAATTGTGTTTTCATCAATTTCAATAAAACGTTGTGGTTTTATGGAGCTTCTTGCTTCTTCTGGTGCAATTAGATTAGATATTTATGGTGAATGTCATTGTACGCCACGGTTTTTTCTGAGTTCCATATTTTTGTTAGATTGAACTATTGAAATAACAACTTTTTTATCCTGTGTATGATTTTAGTATCAAGCTTAGTTCTTGAGGAATCTATAAAAATTCGATTTGACTCCAAATTTCCCAGCGAGCACAAACATCCCTGGGATGTTTTGAAAATGTTGGCATGAAGATGTTATTTTGAGACGTAATATGCACTGACCAAAGAGGTCTTCGAAGGATATTGAAGTATTGTTTTTGTTCTTCTGTGGCATTTCTTTGTTTGCCTACTGAGAGGTATCCCTGGGATGTTTTGGGATGTTTTAGAAATGTAGGCATGAGGATGTTTTTTTGAGGCGTAATATGCACTTCACAAAGAGGTCTTAGAAGGATATTGAAAGTATTATTTTGTTCTTTTGTGCCCTTTCTTTATTTGCCCCACCACAACGTCTCATGCTTACGTCACAATACGATGAATTCTGATTTGTTTTCGATTTTGTTCTTCTTGTTCGCAATTGGCATTCGCGTTTGCAGCGTGTCACGCTTACATCACGCTGCTAATGGACAGAAAGGAATTTGGTGACGTTTATTGTGTTAGAAGACTTATTTAGTTTGTAATAATGACCATCAGATGCAAGATGTGTTGTTCGGTGCCTCAGTGTAATCAATATATAAAAGTACGAATTCATCAATACACAGCTTCTCCGCAGTTGCAAAATTATGCATTGTGGAGAAGATTTCAAAAATTGGGAAACCTATGTCCAATTATATGTCTGTGTGTAGTAAGCACTACTCAGAAACCGATTAAGAAGGTAATTTCATATCAAGAAAATATTTTTATGTTCAATCTATTTTTAATGCATTTTTCCATTCAAGGGAAATGGAATCCTAATGCAAAAGTTCATTTTGACAAAAGGCTTCAGAAAAGTACCTCGAAAATGTTTTTTTTACAGCGATTGAATGTGCGCGAGAAGCGTTGAAAATGTTCTGTTGTGTCCATGAAAAGGCTTTAAAAAAACTAGGGAGAAGGTAGTTTTGTGACATATCAAGGACATCTCGATAATTGCCGCCTGCGGCGGACATTGGCTGTTCTATAATAGTTCTATTCATGTGTGAACAGAACATCGCAGTGGAGGTTCAATGTCTCGGAATCTCGTACTTTTAACATCTCTGAGATGTTTTTGTGCTCGCTGGGTTTAATGTAGGTGTTTTCAAGACTTCCATTGAGATTACTCAATAACCCCAATTACAATCTTTTTGAAATATTAGGGCCTCCTCAGTCTCTAACCATACTGAATTTCGGCACCATGAAAGCTTATACAGGGGGGTTATAAATAAAAACAATTGATACTTCAAACTTCAACAACCTGTATCTCAAAAACGGAGCAAGTCAAGACAAATGTTTATATGAACTTTATTTGTTAGAATATCACAGGAAATCACCCCTTGAATATTTTTGGTGTTATTTAGATACACCCAGTATAACCTACACAGTTTTCCACTTATATAATTTAATTTCAGGTGTTAGCAACTTTCATCTCAGCGAAAAGTTGAATACAGCCTATTCAGCAATTGCTCTTCAACTGGGATGTCCTTATACCGAGGAAATAAATAAAATGTAAGTATAGTGGAAGAAACAAAAAAATCACCAGATTACCGCTGCAACTGAAACACTAGCTTGGAATTCCGAAATCTACATAGAACAGCCATTGGCTAAAGTTGAACTTTTCAAAAAAGCTGTTGAGGTTTATATTCCAGATTGATGTCGATATTTGAAGCTGGCATCATTACAAAAATGACGGAGAATGAATATGAGAAACTGGGAAAGCAGAAAGAACTGACATCTGATATAGCGGAAAATATAGAGAAAGAAACTAGTAAAGAAACTAGGAGGCCATTGGCGGGCAATGAGGAAAATGAAAAATCAAAACCGATCAATTTGAAAATGCTGCAAGGATCGTTTTACCTGCTTTGCTTTGGAAATGCCTTCTCAGGTTTGAATACAATAAAATTATACTATACCAATGTTCAATCTTTTATTTTTAGGTTTGATTTTGTTTGGTGAAATAATGATTCACAAGCATCATATTCAGTACAATTCGAAGAAAAAGAGATTTAAAACGATCAGGAGACTTCTGAAGCAGATCAGGGTCAAATGTAATCGGATGCGATCGGCCGCCAGAAGATTCCACAGGAATTTAATGCATGATGCTTTTGTATCTACTTTAGAATACATAGAATAATGTTCCATTTTTTTCCCTTTTTTGAATTGATTTGGCCGTTACTCGATGGAAATCCATAGTAAATCTAATAAACAAACGATAAGATTTCTACAAATATATTAAAATTTTTTTGGAAATCGTACTATTTGGAAAGTCATGAGAACCAAGAGAAATAAGGTAGGAATTGGTGTTTTTTCTTAAATCTCATATGAATGTCATGAGATGAGGCTTCAAAAATTAAAACTCACGTGTTTTTGGAATTTCTTCAAATGTCGCCCATTTTTGAAATAATGAATTTATTCCATACATTTGCATCATACTGTATATACAACATTTTTTTTATATTGGTGATTCTATTGAAATGTGAATACAACTATCATTGAATACAATAGTGAGTGAAGTTTTGAAAGGATATGGGCATTTGAATTGGCGCACAGTATATATTAGAGATTTTTATTTCCTACAAAAAAAGTAGTTTTTTGACGAATTGAGAAATGAATAAACGATAGTTGATCTTATCTATCAAACATCTTTTGATTTTATTTGATTCCTATAGGTGAAGCAAAATTTCTTTAAAAAATTATTGTCGAGTGTCAAGGTATATGACCTTCTTCTTGAACCTCGAGGCTTTGATATAACATTGACAAATTCCACAAACCAAAAATCAGTGGTATACGAGATGCTTCTAGTGCCAGTATAAGTGTACGCAGTTGTGAGACTTTCCACTCAAGAAATTTGGCTCCCGATGCAGGATTAATATAGGTAGTATATACAAGTTCATTGATTCATTGAAAATCTGATATTCCGATTGGAAATCACTGGTTGGTAAGTTAATGTCCGATTCCAATCGAATTATAAATTCACGTTCATCCGAACATAATTGTAAATATTTGCATTCAATTTACATTCATGAGTAGCAGGTATAGGTATAGGAACAATATGTATGTACCTAAAACAGAACCAATACCGTGAATACTCCACAAAAGACTATTGTAGGTATATTGGCACTTGAAAAAATGTATTGCCTTATCGTTTGTGATAAATCGTTCGGAGTGTTTGAATATAAACTGATATATCGTCATCAATATTCATATGAAAGATAAGCTGTGTCTTTGTTTAGTTCTCGCAGCTCCTGTATAGGTATGTTGGGCTAATTGAATTGGATATTTAGATTTGACGAAAAAAAAATCCAGAAGCTTTGAGAAAACATAGTTATTTATTATACAAGGAAAACAAGTAGTAGATTTTACCTCCATCAGGTTTTGTTGTCTCCCGGCGAGTATAGCGGAGGGAGACAAAAAAAAATTGTTTGTTTACAAAAAGATGCGTCTTATCTCATAAAAATAAAATAAGCATCCAGTATAGGGTTTTTATAATACTGATATAAAAAAAATATATCAGTAGATCCAGTTGATCAAACATGACACCATCAGCCTACTTGGCAGTCTTATTGGCAATCGCTTCACCAACCATCATACAAGCTCTGGACAATGGTCTGGCTAGAACCCCTCCAATGGGATGGATGCACTGGCAAAGATTCAGATGTCTCATCGACTGTCAAGCCTACCCCGACGAATGCATAAGGTAAGAAAAAAATTGTAGTTTGAAAAACTAAAAAAACACGCTTTTATTGGTAGCCAAACTAAGATAGAAAAGAAACTAATCAAAGTGTTTTGGCGTAATTTCATATTTTGGCACGCCAACACAATTATTTAGGGCACCCAAGGAAAAAAATGAGAGAGTACATATGAACAAAATAAGCAACGAGCATATTGAGAAAACTTCGAATTAAAAATATTTCACATCGAAACAACAACAAAATAATACAAAGGAAAAAAATCATATAATTATGTTTACATAATATACAGTGCTTTTCTTTAATGTCCCCTCCCTTTTATTTTTTGAACCGTAGAATATAAAGTTAATATCTTCAAAAGTAACAAACATTTGGATAATACTTTCCCCGGTTGGCCGTCGAGGTCCTACGGAATGACCAGCGCGTTCGCCAGATTTGACTCTTTTAGACGATTTTTTTATGTGGCTATTTGAAGCAAAATGTGTACGAAACTGGTCCTGCTTCAAAATTGGTATACGACAGAGAATCAATCAATCAACTTTATTATTCCCAAGAAACAACATTTGTTTATGAATATTTGTAGAAATATCGACGTATCGACTCGATTAACCTACAGAAACTTGTCATTTTGAAGGTATTCTAAGCTACGGAATAAAAACGAATATTCGAGATTTTGGTGAAGGAACATTTGCATTTTTGGTGTCGGAACATCATCAAATTATGTTATTATCATCGGCCCTTGGTGAGTCGACGTTTTGAAGTAGGTCTAGATTGTTGATTGTAGATGGGTCGTATATATATAGGCTGGGAGACCTCTCGATCACTGCGACCTAGAAGATCTATTGTGATTACCCTTATTTAGTTTTGGTCCTCTGACCCTAGACTTCTGATGAAGCCTAGAATTTTCCTGACGGTTGAATTTTCCACCTCAGCAGGGGTGATAGACCTGTTCTAGGTGGTTCAGCCTTTGGCGGACTAATACTTCACATGAGCAAAGTATGTGTTCCGCGGTTTCGGTCGCATTGTTACAAAAGCGGTAAGTGTCAGTCTCCGCCAGGCCCATCTTTTTGAGGGGGTACCTCAGCGGGCCGTGTCCTGTGAGAAAGCCTGTGATAAGCTTTAGCTCTGGTTTGCTGAGGCTGAGTAGCTCTTTGGCTCGGTTCTGCGAATGGTTGATGAACCTTTTCGCTTGTCGTTGACCTGGAGTTGCTCTCCAGTAGAAGGACTTTTCAATTTCTTCCCATTTCCTGAGTTCTTCCTCTAGGTGACATTTGCTTATCCCACAAAAAGGCTCAGGACCGAAAAGTGCAGATGCTGCACCTTTTTTTGCAAGGCGATCAGCTGATGATTTTAGGACTTTTAGTGCGGTTTGGCTGTCTGAGCAGATATATATGTTGGCACCCCTCAGACCTTTGCTCAGGCACCTTTGGGCTCAAAGGTTGATGGCATGTATTTCAGCTTGGAAGATAGTGGGGGAGTGACCTGAGGCTTCAAATAGCCTACACCCGGGTCCATATACACTCGCGCCTATCCCTTCTTCCATTTTCGAACTATCGGTGTACCAAACAAGGGACCCTCTGTCCAGCTGAGACTCAGCGTAACCGTACCTAGGGCGGCTTTTTATAACCAGTTCAAAGGTATGATCGAAACTACTGAGCCTGGCTGGCATTATGTCCGATGGTTAGTAGGTCTGAATCACCGTCAGAGATTTCGTTACATACAAACATACAAATATACAAACATACAAACCAAAGCTAATAAAAGCGTGGTAAAAACTGGATCGACTTTTCCTCTAACATTTCAACATTGATTTTTTCGTATTTAGCGAGAGACTGTTTCGTACAATGGCAGAACGTTTGGCAACGGATGGTTACCTGCAAGCTGGCTACGAATACATAATGATCGATGACTGCTGGGCTTCGAAAGAAAGAGATAGCGATGGGAAGCTACAACCTGACCCAGATCGTTTCCCAAATGGTATTAAGCCCCTAGCTGACTATGTAAGTATACATCCGAAGTGGATAATTGTTCAGAAGATCTAGAAAAATTGACAAAACACAGTAGTTCGTGAGCCTTCTAGTTGCAACAGACTATTCGCGGTCGCTAAGATCATTATAGATGACGTTGAGATGACATGCAAAACTACGGGGCATAGATTGGAAGTGAGACATGTTTTTCCATAGTTTTTAATGTGACCTTGGCGACCGGGAATAAAGATTACACATTGTTACAACTTGTTTAGTTATTGCCATTGCCAGTCCTGCCAGACCTGGATATAGGCGTAGCCTTGGATGTAGTTATCAGTAGTATTTCAGTTCAAACAGTTTTCATTCGAACAATCACTTTTCACTAGCACTTACCTGAATTTAGTAAATCATCCAGTAACACCCAGTTCAAACACAGAACGCTTCAATATATTATGCACATTGACTTTATCGCGACCAGTATTGGCCTAAACCGGTTCAGTCAAAAGGCACATTGCACTTTTCAATGCTTTGCACTGTACCTATCTATGATCTGGTGCAAACTGTTTTATGGAAAACTAAAACATGTACTTGCACTTACCTGCACATAGCTAAACTTCCAATTACACAGTACAAATACGAAACATTTCAAAATATGTGTGTTAACTCTATATCTTAACCAATATTCACCTCGAATTTACCAGAACCAAGTCAGAAGCCAGAGCATGCATTTCTCGATGACCTGTACTGTACGTACCTATAATTTGGTTGAGACCATTTTTGTTTGAAATTTCAGTGACACACAATACAAACATACAATTCAAAATATGTGCATTGATTCTATCATAACCAATATTGACCTCGACTGGTTTGAAATTTTTGAGAGCAAGTATTTTTCACTCTTAGTATCTACAAGTTGGTTTTTTCAGACCGTTTTTAGGAACATTTAAACTTCCGATATCACATAGTACAAACAATTCACTGACTTCATCATATTCAATTTTGACCTCGACTGGTTTGAAATTCACCAGAATGAAATCAGAAGGCAGAGCATGCATTTTTTATGACCTGCACTGTACGTATCCATAATTTGTTTGAAATTGTTTCGTGGAAAATTTGAACATGTACTTGCATTTATGTGTGAACTTTCCCAAACAACACTGTACAAACAAGGAACAATTGAAAAATATGCTCATCGACTTTTCATTAAATCTTGACTTCTACTGGTTTGAAATCCATCGAAATCAAGTCAGAAGGCAGAGGATGATTTATTTATGACAATCACTGTACGTATCTACCTATAATTTCGTTGAACTTGCCCTCATCTCGATATACAAGGTCTTTTTGAAATAAGTGCACATATTCCGCACATTAATATGATACAGTCTAAGGAATATTCCCATGATATTAGATTTTTTCTAATTCTTCTAATTAACGAGAAACTTCATCCCACAAATTGGATGAAATACGAGAAAAAAATCATGTACGCTAACCTCAAATTTTAATTTGATCCCTGAATTTTTTATCAGTGCCGATCGACAGTACACGTCGAGCTGTCTCAGTGTTTGATATATTTGCACTTATTTCAATGCCACCCTGTATAGTTAATTCTCCTGCAAACACAAAACAATCCAAAATATCTGCACTGAGTATATCGTAACCAATTTTCACCTCAACTGGTTTGAAATTCACCTGGATCGAGTCAGTAGGCGAAGCATTCACTTTTTAATGACCTGCACTGTACATAAAATTATTTTTTTCAGGTGCATTCGCTAGGTCTGAAATTCGGCATTTACGGTGACTACGGAATACTCACCTGTGGTGGATACCCTGGTAGCAAATACCATCTGGAGGTGGACGCCAATACATTCGCAGAATGGGGAGTGGATTACCTGAAATTAGACGGATGTTACACAGATTTTCACAATATAGAAGAAGGTGTGTTGATACAGATAGTGTCCATGCATCAAATCTTTGACTTTTGCGAGATATCTCAGCAGTCTTTGGAGATAAAGAGCTGCGGTTCTTACACAACTCTCTGACCCTGTTTTTTTGTGAAACAAACGATGCTGCAAGATCGTGAGTAGTACAAGGGGATTGTGATTCTATCTCGCAAATGTACTAAGACATTTTGAATATTCATTTTGGAACAGTTTTGAAGAAATCAAGCGAGCCTCATTACCAGGCTTACTGTAAACACTGTAAATAAGCAACTTTTGAAATTCGGCAGGAAAAATCAATAACTTTGTTATCCGTTGGAGGCCGCGAGGACAAATGTGTATATCGATTCGGAATCCTCGTATGAAATCTTACGTCGATGTGGATGGTTTTTAACCGGAAATGAGCAACAATGAATTTTTCAGGTTATGTGGAAATGGGTAAATACTTGAATGCAACTGGTCGACCTATCACTTATTCTTGTAGTTGGCCTGCCTATCAAGAACCAGAAGGATTGAAAGTGAGTTTTTATTCTCATTTTTCGAAAGCTAGTAATTTGTATTCATTGAAAATAGAGATAGAAGAAGAACTCGATGAGAATTTAATAAAAATAGGCATAAAAATGGGACAGCTGACATCTGATAGGACAGCTAACCTGACTCAAAGTGAATCACAATGGTGGTTGCTTCACTACTCATGTTTCATTAATTAAATATCATTTATCTTGGATGCAGAAACTGTTTTTCCCCGGTCTGCTTACTGAATAACTTATTTCATATTCGCCCATAGAAAAATAGGTAGGATATAGTATTTTTCCTAACAAGTGCGGAAAGTTATACTTTCCCGCACGCGAATGCCGTCAAGTGCATGAAAGACACTTTCCGCATGAGTTAGGGACGATTTTTTTTTCTACAAGCGTAGGAAATTGATTTGTTCAATCAATCATTCCTGGAAATAGAAACAACTAACAATAGTGAAAAATTCTCTATTTTCTGATAATTCGTGATATATCTATTGTGGGTTGTGGGTATCGGTTGAAGCATAGTATATAGGTATGCTTATTGCGGAAGCCAGCATGCCCATGGTGTTTGGCCTTTAGGTTTCAGACATCTCTAGGAAATGAGCCAAAAATACTTATTTATTTGGTGTTTTTACTTTTTTACTATTGCACCATTGCATTACCTTCCTTAAGACTTCGTTGGCAATAACTCATCTGTATCCCATCTGTAGCTGATGGAAGTTTTTCATCGCAATTCCACTGAATCGAGAATGACAGTAGCTTCTCTGTCTGTCACGCTGAGAATTACACTAACTAATTTGTGTTTTGATTCAAATGACAACAATTGTTTCCGACATCAGATCAATTAAAGGCTATAGGGGGATTTATATAACAATTAATTATTATTTCTCAATATTTCTTCATTTTCACAATGAATAGTGCAATTTGATGGATGATTTTGTACAAACTTACTGAATATTGCAACAAAAACCTAAAATTTTCATATTGTGTCACCCACTACTCATATTTTGCGAGAATATTTCATAAATGTTTTTCCCGCACTAGTGTGGGAAAGGCACAGCTGCGGGAAAATAACACTTAATTTGAGTGCGTGTATAGGGTGAATCACGCACGCCTGTAGAAAAAGTTATTTTTTGTATTTCCAGTCGAACTACACGATATTTTTCTCAAGTTATTTTTTGTATTTCCAGTCAAACTACACAAAACTAGCAGAGACGTGCAACCTTTGGAGAAACTGGGACGACATAGAAGACTCATGGGACAACGTCACCGATATCGTAGATTGGTTCAGTGGAAACCAGGACCGCATCGCGAATTTTTCGGGCCCTGGACACTGGAACGATCCAGACATGGTAAAGTGGACTCATCACATAATCTGACCAATCACAAGCCAGAGACAACGTGTGCTTATCACGAAAACATAAGCTGTCTTTCAATTCTGATTGGTCTATCAGCGTTGATGTTTTCAACGATGTAACCATGGATAGCGACAGAATTATCTCGAATATTCATAACATCGTGATATTACTTATCAAAATTCAAGACAAAACAAAAACACCCGCAGGAAAATCACCATCTCCAGCCAAAATGACAAGCGTCGTCATAAGATTAACAGATACCCACAGAGTCGAAATAATTGAACTACTCAAAAGATTGAGGAGGAATGCTCATCAATATCTTTGTTAATTCCTGGGGAATCTTGAAGTGATTTGAAATTCCAGGATTATGTCCTAATGATACAGGGCAACATAAAAATTGATAGATGACAAAAGCTATGATATTAGCGGAGCAATAAAATAAAAAGCACGTGTTCACATACAGGTATTTATGTCGGAGCGGCAGTGATTTTACAATTCACTGATATAAAATATAGTTATAATATAATTATTTAGTTACAAATGCTTCGAATGAAAGTTAGCTCTCTGTCAAGTCATTGCCAATAACAAGAAAACTGTTTTTATAAGAATGTGTAATACACGTTGTCGAAAGACGTTTGATAAGAGATGTTAGAAAACGTATATCACGTTTATTCATTTTCACCAATGGTTATAAAAGAGTAACTTGATATCATTAGAGTAACGACTATTCTATAGGAAAAATCAACATCTCGGATTAACGTGGTCGACGGAGTTTCATCCGACTCTCTCATCATAAATGCTGGTGTTCCGCAAGGATCAATTCTAGCACCAACACTATTTCTACTCCATATCAACGATTTGTTGGAAGCAACTTCATGTCCAGTAAACAGCTTCGCGGATGATAGTACCCTCCATACCGCCTTCTCTTCCAGGGCACCAATACCAGCCAGGCAAATCAGAAACGACCGAGGGAGAAATGTTGACAACATAAATATGGACTTGGCAACAATTCTCGAATGGGGATCCAATAACTTGGTAGATTTCAATGCAAACAAAACACAAGCATGCCTTTTCTCTAGAAAAGCCAATCTCACTGTGCCCAAGATAAGCTTTTCAGGAGTAACCATACCTTTGAAGACATCCATTTCGATGCTTGGTATTACTATAAGCAATAATCTTTCTTGGGAAAATCACGTGAGATCAATTGCTGAAAGTGCATCCCAAAAACTTGGTTTTCTGTTTCGGGCCAGGAGCTATTTCACTTCCAGTCAGCTGCTTATGATCTATAAGGCACAGATCTGACCTGTCCTGGAATACTGTTCCCATATTTGGAGTGCAGCACCCAAACATACCCTGAAACTGTTGGATTCTGTCCAAAGAAGGGCAATTCGTCTCGTGGGTGATGTATCGCTCACAATCTCACTCACTTCTCTGGAACACCGTAGAAGAGTCGGCGATTTTGCTCTATTTTATAGATATTTTCATGGACGATACTCTTCTGAAATATCAACAATTATTGTTCCTCCCTTGGCAGTCCCCGCGAGATTAACCCGTCGAGTTGAGGCTTCGCACCCCTTCGTGATCACTTTGGAGACCTGCAGACCATCTCTTTCCAAAGACTCGTTCATCCAACGAACAGCGAAGGCTCTGGAACACATTGCCAAGGGAGGTGTTTCCCGAGGCATATAACCTCCAGAAATTTAAGAAGAACACCAATTCCTACCTTTTTTTATTCGGCTCTCACGACGTTCTCTGAACATTAGAGGATATCCCTTGTCGTGGGAACCAGAACATAAAAAAAATAATAAAGGCATGATTTCTACAGATCATCACAAAATACAGGTTTTTTACGTTAATCAAACGATCAGATTGAACATTGAAAACTTTTCATCCAATGAAACGTTGAAAAAACGTTGAGTATACCCATTGGAAACCAAACCTAACGTGACTTAACCAGCTCAATCTAATGTCAGCGAACTTAAACCTAACCTAATATTTTCTAGCTGCTGATAGGCAACTATGGATTGAGTTACGAGCAAAGTAAGGCACAGATGGCGGTTTGGGCAGTGATGGCCGCCCCGCTGATAATGTCCGTAGATTTGAGAACCATTGAGCCCCAGATGAAGAACATTCTACTCAACGCAGAGGCCATAAGGGTGAACCAAGACCCTTTGGGAATCATGGGACGACTCGTTTTGAAAGTGAGTCTTACAATGGATAAATCGAATTACTGAAAAAACATTTTTTTAGAAAGAAAAAATTGATATTTGGACTAAACCAGTGTTGCCGATTGTGAAAGGGACGAATTCTTATGCGGTTGCATTGATGAGCCGTAGGGTGGATGGGTACCCTCGTAGAATCAACGTCACTTTATCCGAGTTGAATATAACACACCCTGGCGGTTTTATACTAAAAGTAAGTGACAGTTGTCAGATTATGCCTTATAATGAACCAACTTTTTTCTTTATGTATGAGTGTATTTTTTATAGCAGGACTTTGACAGCTTCAGGAAGACATTTTTTTATGATGAAAATGTCTACTCACCTTGTATGTCATAAATATTGGGACATAGGCTGAGGGCGGATTGTTTGGACCAAAACATGGCTTATATGCCTTATAATAAAATATTGGTGTGGAGAAAGATACAGGGCGTTGAAGTTTTATTATTTCGTGTCTTTATTCTAATAATTTCACTGTTTTTTTTATCAACTGATATCAAAAACGGAACAGAAGCATAATTTTATCCAAGGAATATTTTTTTATGTATGTATGTCTTGCAACAGCGCCTAATACTTCGAGTCCGTCCACACCACTCAAAATACTGACAGGCACAACAACAGGAAGGAGCCATGGGTGTCGGCTTCATTCTGTTCTGACCGATGACAGCAGAGATTAGGAAGGGTAGTATCATTGAATGTAGCCGAAAGTGATTCATTGATTCAATGATGATCTTTTGGTGTAGGATCGAGCTATATTCGAGATATTTCAATGCATAAATAACAAAACCATAACCTGTCAGAATGAAGCCAACTACCCTCTGCATTCCTGCTCCGAGTGCATTTGTGGTTATGTATGTTTTTGTTTAACAGTTTTACTTCTTCTTCTATTTTTTTCATTCGCTTTCCATTCGTTAGCTATTCGCTAGCTATATTTTCCACCATCAGCTATTTATAGACTAGATTCAGAATGTACGTCATAGTTTGCCGCCCCGAAAATTAGAAATTGCTTCAATTTGAAAATGGAAACGACTTGGACTTTATCGATCGCCATTCTGTACAGCGTGGACATAAAACTGGAGAATTCCGAACTCATTTTATGAAAATTCATCTAAAGGAAACTTCCACACAGTTCAAAGTCTCGAGAGAGGATTTCAAATATTATTAAATTTTTGAAGAGTCTATACATAGATGATTGTTGCTGGTGAATTACATTCCTTGTCTGTGAATAAATTTTAATACGAGTTTATAGTCGATACTTTTTCTATTGATGGCCCTGTATCTTTTTCCACAGCCACATTTTATTAAGGCATATTTGGTTCTTTTGCCATATTTTGCTACAAACAATCCGCCCTTAGCCTCTATGTCCCAATAGTTATGACTCACCCAGTATATGCCTGGTATAATATACAGTCAATGTCAAAGTTTTATGTACCTACTTTTTTGCTTTTCACGTACAAAAAATTTCGATTAACGATCACAGAAAGAAATCGCATTTTTTTCGAACCCCAAATTAATGAATCTGATCTGGTGAGGAATGAATCAACGAATTTAACACCGGTCAATCAGGATTTCTAGTTCTTTTAATGGTTTTTTGAATCTTCCACAGCCACTTGATATGACCTCTGAGTTCTGAATATTTTATGAATAACTGACTGAAATTGTAATATTGCAAGAGTCATTGATACTTCCGGTGCTTTTGACCTCGCTGAAAGCAAATGCTCGGGTTCGGCTGATATTCACCTGCAATCAATGATCAACAAATATTTCAGACAAACCTTTATTTATACTAAATAAATTTTGGTTTAATATTTAGTTTTCTATTAGCCACTTCATTCATAGATTCGATTTTGGAAATGGCCTCTGTTTTCTGGGTGCAAATTCTCAGTTGGAACTGTGAATTAGGAAATGTATTGAACAAAAAGTTTTGTTTGACAATGTCAGTTCAGATCGTAATCTCGAACTAAGTATTTTCAATCTTTCGATATGTTTCTGAAAATAAGATCGCACACAATTAGTCACATGTTGATTGCTGAATAATATTAACATAGATATAAAGACACCTATTGAGGTTTATGGAAATTTCAACCTTTGCCCTAGTATTTTCAAAACAAGTTTGGTATCAGAAGTCCGATCTCCAACCTATCTTTTTCTTTTGTTCCCTTTGTTTTCATTGGAATATTGCATACACATAGGTACGTATATGACACGAAGTGGAAATCGGCAAATAAAAAGTGTTGTATTGGTTACTAATTTTTTTCGAATTCAATCTGAAACACCTTGTATATATACAGAGTCTTCAAAGGAAAACTTCAGCTCTCCTAACCGAGTTCAATTTTTCAAAGAAACAATTTTCAAAGTTAAGCTAACTTGATATGCCCTAAACATCTAGCAATCCCAACTTTGAATTTTCAACCATATAATGATGTACCACCCTGTATAACCTAAAATATATTCTTATATAATTTGTAGGTCAAACTGAGAACCTAATTTCTTTGAACAAATCATGTTTTTTTATAGGATATCTTCAGCCCTCAAAATGAACCAGTTGCCCATAAAGATAAAGACGTCATCTTCATTAGAGTACCGCCCACTGGTAAGTTGCTCAATATATTTTTTGTATAAATTGTTTATTATTTTATTATCCATTGTTCGATTCGAAATATGTGAAACACATTTTTTCAATGGCAACGCACTTTTTTTTTGGTGAGTTTCATGTTGAAATGTAGGAAATAAGGCAACTTTGTGATTTTGTTTCATTTTCAGGACACTGAAGTGAAAAAACGAGAAAATACATATTGAAATATCATTTTAAAATTTTTCTACTTCAATGTCCTGAAGATGAAACAATAAAGTTTCGAAACGTCGACAATTCAATTGGTCTTCTTCAACATTTCGACAGAATTCCCCCTAATTGAACACCAGAAATTCTATTCGACGGTCGCCATTCTATTCAACTATGAAGTTTTGTGATTACATTACCTATCATTTCGAATTTTGGGAAAACTGAAATAATTATTTATTTAGAAATGATGTTTTAGTATTAGGGAATGAGATATTCGCGATTTTTTGCGTTTTTTTCGGGAATCATTGTATTTGTATTCATAGTACAAAAATAAAAATTTCAGTTCTCGGTTTGACAGTCTGAAAAAATTCAGGAAGACCAAATCGAACTCAGAGTGATATAATATACAGGGTGGCCCACGGTCGATGGTACCTTAGAAGTATACGGAAAACGGTACATTGGATTATCCTGAAAATTTGGTTACTCTAATAAGCGTTTGTGATCTAACGATTCAAAAAAATTTTCAGCGAAGCAGCGTTGCCACTTTTACCAAAAAGTAGCATCATCTTTGTTATTTCAAATAGAACACCCTGTATTTTATTGCGTTCTTAGATTCTTCTGGAAGAGCTGATTTCATCAATGTATCACACTTGGGGTCTAGCAGGAATTATTACAGAGATATAGGGTGTTCAAAATCGAGATTTTTAAACTTTAGGATTTTTTGTGTCTAAACTATTCATCATTGGTCAAAACGGCTTACATGTCCCTATATTAACTTTTGATCAACTATCTACCGACATTTAATTGGAAAAAATACAGGATGGTCCAAGATTCAGAATTTTGATCACCCTGTATCTGTTCCAATTAAATGTCAGTAGATAGTGTATCAAAAGTTAAGATAGGGACATGTAAGCCGTTTTGATCGATAATGAATAGTTTCGACACAAAAAATTCCTGAAATTGAAAAATCTCGATTTTGAACACCCTATATCTCTGTAATAATTCCTGCTAGACCCCAAGTGTGATGCATTGATGAAATCAGCTCTTCGAGAAGAATTTAAAAACGCAATGAAATACAGGGTGTTCCATTTGAAATAACAAAGATGATGCTACTTTTTGGTAAAAGTGGCAACGCTGCATCGCTGAAAATATTTTGAATCGTTAGATCACAAACGCTTATTAGAGTAACCAATCCAATGTACCGTTTTCCGTCTACGTCTAAGGTACCATCGACCGTGAGCCACCCTGTATACAGTAAACGAAAACCCGAAAATTTTCAAAATAACTTGGTGGTGTGCTGATAAATACCTAATTGCTCTGTTTTGGAATAAAATTGCAATATTCACTTTGGTCGCTAGTATCTTGAAAAATATAGGTCCTAGCTACATGGTCGAAGTTTTAATCGATCCAGGAAGGTCTGATGTTTTACCAGAAACGGAAACGTCGTATCGAACTACGGAGCTCTCTCTTTTTTTCATTCGAACTTGAACATCCAAAATTGCACAAAATAGGTTGGTGGTATTCTAATTGTGATGAGGAGGTCAAAACTACAAAAGTTGATGGTCGATTCGCTTAAGTAATACTTCTAGGCAGTAAATAATATAATATGTAAGCAGATGTTTTAGAAAGTATATTGAATGGAATGGTTTCACTTTCTTCATGAATTAATCTGGTGTGTGACACACTACACGATTCTTTGTTTTATACCGCACTGACCAGAAAAACATTATTGTATATGATTGACGCCAACACCATTTTTTTTCAATGGAACATTCCTTTTTTCAATGGAACATCCCTTTTTTCAATCTACGGATTCATTCGATGCTTCAAACTGGGTAAAAATACGAATATTGTTCATGGATATTAATATAGAACCTTATCTATATCTACCTGAGCATATGTCGTTAGAATAACTGTGAAAAATTGAATCATTGAAAATTGAGCCCATAAAGTTCCATCGTTGTCCACACTGTATATATTGTTTTCTCTTTTGGGATAAGCTTGTTCTCGGGCGCTGATGACACAGTTGGGACATCTGTAATCAAATCAAGGGCAGTATTTCGAATTATTGACCTCTCGTCATCAGTACTGATGAAATCCAAAGTTGAGTCTGATAATGGGACTTAATCAAAAACAGGCTATCAACTCATGAAATTATACCTTGAACTCTTTATGGCAGCCAAAATTCGACGACATTTTTTATCTGAACATCGCGCGATTACAAAAATCACATATAGGACAAGGGTCAAATTATTTATTTCGTTCATTTCTCTGAATTTTTGGAATCAAATGGGAAAAAAGTTGCGCATTTCAAAGGATACTTCCAACGATCTTCAAATCAGCTAAGTGAAAATGTGATATTTTTTCGATATTCCTCTCATTCACACATTTTTCAAACAAGGTGTCACTGTGACTATCGATCTTTTTTTTTTTTTCATTTCAAATAGCAAAATTCCAAGCGCAGAGACATTTTGGAACAAATAATTTGGTTTTTCCTGACCTCGGTCCTGACTACAAATGTATTGAACTTATTATATACTAATATTTTGATTTATAGAGACGAAGAGAAATCATCACATAAATTTAGAGAAATTAATATTCCACACTCCTTGATTAACCTAAAAGACATTATTCATTACTGTGGTGGTGTTGTTTTTGGGATTGAGGTATTAGATTAAAGAAAATTATATCTCAGACCTAAATCCCAAAAACAAATCATCAGTCATCTTACAAATGGTAGTAAAATAATTGAAATTTTTTATGTCATTAGTTTAATCATAGATTAAAGCCTTATCATGAAAATCAACGCTACTTGATGATTTTAAGAAAATCTACGATTCATATGACGTGCCTATCATTAGAAAGTATATCTATATAGTCATCATTGTGCAACGAAATTTACGCAAGATGAATATATCTATCATATACTTGGACTCATTATAGTAAATTATTCAGTACAGGATATGATGAAGTTTTTGGATAGAATTCAGAATAAAAGCCTATAACTCGGCCTATAAATAAGTATTTCGTCAACTAATTTTGGTTTCCCACTGTTCAATTTCCTACTATATTTGTAACTATTTGAGGAGTCTCAAATTAGTATCAGAAGTAAGCAATATGTTCTTTGAATCATTTGCCTCTGATTCTACATGTTTGCCCAATACAGGAAAGTAAAATAACAGCGAGATCAATTTTTTTTTTCAGCGAAAATTCAGAGCTAGCTCATCAATGAATAATCTTGAGAAATATCATTCTACAAGGTTCAAATTAAATAAAGTAGCTACAATAAAAAATGAAAAGCGTTAGGTTATTTAAGTGGTATACAGACTATACAGCGTGTAATAGTAGATACTATATGGTTGTATTATTTCTTCTATAAGTTGAAATAAATCTAACATAATTTATATCAGAGTCAGGCACATCTTTTGTGATTTTCGTTGTTATTATAATATGAATAACTTTGAGTGGACTAAAAATAGATATCTGCATTCCCAAGAAACAGAACTAATTGGAATAAACTTGACTCAAAAAATTTCCAAATGACTCATCTTCTTAGATCAATAAATTGGCATTCTTATTATATTAAGTCTTCATCATTATTCATGAAGGGGAAGTGAACTTAAAATTTTTTGTGGAAATTGCAAAAGGACGTAACTAAAATTCTGTCTTGAAAAAGCGTTCAAACATTTTTTTTTTTTTTTATCATCGATTTTTGGAGGCCGTATTTAATAAAAAAAGTGTCATTTGTGTTATTTTTACGATTGATTGGAAATAATCGTTTGTTATCAAAATCGTGATTAAAAATTGGGCTAGACATTAGACTAGTTTTCCTATCAACAAGGACTTCTAAAATAAATATATGCATAACACTAAAACCGATGATTATCAGAACTCAACTTTTTGTACCTATTAATTCAGTTTTATGTGTTGGAAGCAATAAAATAGTTATTTATTCTACAAAAGTAGTAGATTTTAGCTGGAGGTTGTGTCGTGTGCTAAAATCTAATATTTTTCCCGTGTATAATACACTATTTTTTTCTGTGACATGAAGAAGGACCAATCTATACTGAGAAGATATTACATTATATTAAATCAGAGAAATATCGACATGAAATTTGAAGTTTTCAAGAAGCTCTCATTTTTTCCCGTGGGAAAAAGGGATTTATAAAAATTCAAATTTTATAATCTGGCAACAGAATTGAAATATCATTTTTTTTATCACAGAAAAATAGTTTATAAATCATTAACATACAAGGGAAGAAAGTAGTAGATTTTGGAGACAAAAATACGTGAGCTGAGATCTAATATTTTTCCCGATTATAATACAGTGACAGGAAAAAGGACGAATCAATATTGAGAATATATTACATTATGTTGAAATCATAAAATTATCGACGTGAAATTAGAAGATTTTAACAGGAATGACACCTGCATTGCAGGCATTTTCATCATTATGATGAAATTTCCAACTTTTTTCCCGTCACAGAAAAAATACTATTATTATTAATTTTCCAGGTGGACTTTTATTATTAGCAACACCACGGTGAAGATACATCAGGAATAAGCTGAACAATCATTGAAATAACATATGAGGTGTAATTTCCGGAAATAGGCATTAAAAGATCTTATCTTATCTGTATGACATTTTTATATTTTTCTTAGATTTGAAAAAAGGAAGAAGATAATTACTTATTCATCAATAAATGAAAAATCATGAGTACTTTTTTTTTCAATGCCAATACCCCAATATCCATTTAGATAATTAGCTTAATAATTTTGGTTTGAAATGACCACTGATAAGAATATTGAGATTGAGGTCAGACATAAGATAAATTATGAATTCTAAAGAAAGATCAGTTAGGGTCCAGCAGATATATACCAGCTATAGGCAGATAAACATTTTATATTGACAAATAAATTTTTTAATCATTAAATTTTTTAATTGAACAGTCATAATAAATTTTCACAAATATACATAATGAATAAAATATATAAGAATCAACATCATGAAGTTCACAAACATTTCATATTAGAAAGTACCCAGGTAAAAACATAAATTTTCTTTGAAATTCCCTCAGAATTTCTTATTCACCAACTAGGTAAAAACTTCTTTTATACAAAGAAGTGATAATCACCGGGTATACCTAGAAAGCTTCAATAAATTATCTAAATAAATAATAAAGCCCACTAAAATCAATTTCTAATAAATAAAATCAGATGGTAATCAAGTTAAAACATGTCCACCACACAAAGAAAGCTTCCACTAGATACTTTCCCAATATTGCAGAGTGAAATTCTTTCATTCACATCATAGGCACTTGAACAGAATACATTCATTCTATCAAGAAGATACCAAGAAGTACTTGTTCCCTGTAAGAATCAACTACAATTGCAAAACTAAGTCCTATGCATGTCCATTCCTTGCTACAGGCATCCTCTCATAAAACCTCCTATGTTTATCATCAATTTTAACCAAGTAATAAGTACCAGGGAAAAAGTCGTCCACCCTACTATTGGGCTCAAAGGGTGCACTATGGCAAGTATCATGCCTAATCTGCAAAGTATCCTCGAAAATCTTAGGATCAACTTTTTGCCTCTGCTGTAACATCCCTTTCACATGGCTCAGATTGGAAATTAAATTTCTGAATCTCTCGTCGATTTTTGAGGCAAAGGTCATAGAAAATATGGAAGCTGCCAAACCTGACCCATATGAATACAACATAATCTTATTTCCTACTAGCTCAGTGATGTCTTTACTAACTAAATAAGACACCAAACCCCCATACAAGGAAGCAGTGTACATATTACCAACTTGACTAGCCACCAACAGGGAAGGAGTAGTCTTTGTCTTGAAGTCTTCTTTGCTAAGGGCAACAAAAGCTTGTTCAACCTCCCTATCAAAGTAAGAGTTTTCCAAACTGACATTCTCAAACTTTTCTAAACCAGGAAACTTCTTGCTCCTATCCTCACTACTAGCTTGAACAAAATCATTCAAAGCCAGCCTAGCCAGAGACTTCTGCACCAACTTGCAGTAAGGAGAATGGAACAGCACCCCATCAAAATCTTGCAAACTAATCTCACCACCCTCCCTCTTAGCCACATTCTTTTTGTACAACTGATAGGTATTATCCAGGGCTCCAAGGTAACATTGAATGGACAGCTTACCATCCACCACAGGGTATTCTGAAGTCAAATCAGGCTTGTAAAAATCATAGGCATGCTTCACATAAGAAGCCCTAGTGCCCCTGTCAAACACCAAGGGGGCATTGGGGCCTATCAGCATTGCCACAGCCCCAGCACCCCCTGTAGGCCTAGCACCTCCTTTGGCATACACAGCAATGTCTGCAGCTACTACCAGAGCAAATCTGCCATTCCATGAGGAAGATTCTATCCAGGCAATAGAGTTGAGAAGAGCAGCAGTTCCTCCATAGCAAGCATTAGTGGAATCTACTCCTTCAATGTCTGTTACTCCATGGGGTTCAAATAACTGCATTAGGACTGTTTTCACGCTCTTGGACTTGTCAATGATGGTTTCTGTGCCGACTTCTAGTCTGCCGATTTCGCTGGGCTGGATGTTGTGCCTTTCCATCAGCTTCTGCACCACCGTGAGGCAAAGCGAGTTGATGTCTTCTCTGTTGGAGCAGAAGCCCATTTTCTGTTGCCCCAGGCCGATGGTGTACTTTCCAGCGGAGACGCCATCGTAGGCCTCCAGTTCCGTTTGGTCCACGTACACCGATGGCACTATGAGCTCGATGGCCAATATGCCGACGTCTTCGGGCCAATGAGCCATGGTTTCGAGAAGATTTTTAGGTCACCGGTGATGATAACGTGATGGGTGAGCACGAGTAGAAAGCGCGCATACGATTAACTCGCGATTTTCTCCGGTGATACCTATTAAATAAGCTTCTCGAACCATACCACCACTCACGGATTGTTCAAATGGAAGTGGGAGGCCCGGATTGTTTGTTTATTTTTGTTATGGCCATTGCCAAAGTCAGGGAGAACTGGGAAACTGACGAAATACTTCTTTTCTTGGCGTGTAGCGTATTCCTAAGTTTTGGCACTAGCACTAGCACTAATAAAGTTTTCATTCCCATTTTCGAAAATTTTCATCAAGATCAGGATGTGTCCATTAGTCCGACTTCACGGATACGTAGGCATCCGTAGGTAAATTATTTTGGCATTTTTCAGACACAAATGATATAATTGGATATTATCGTTGATTTGAATCTGTTAAACACGAATTGAAGAGTTGAAATCAATTGTAAACCAATGATTTTTTGAATATTTACTCGAATTTACCTTGAATGATCGATTTTTCTTAAGAAACTGTCAGACCGTTGAGAGCCACTACCGGCACTACCACTGTGAAACGTCAAAACGTCATGATTGACAGAATTGACAGACCTCAGCTTGTACATTGTCAGTTGTCACTATTGTCATTGTCAGATTTTTAGCGGATTCCATTGGTAAAACTAGTGCGCATTCAGAGTATACATTTCTCTTTCTGCTACACGTCAAAAAGAAGGAAAATATACACTGAGTCCATAAGTACTCCACCAGTTCATGCCCAATGGAAACCACTATTCCCTATTTGATTTGATTTCAATGATTTCACTTCATATTCTATTAGTTCATCGTTTGTTTTGTTTTTGATTTTTGTTTCGACATTTATTTCTTCATCTTTTCTTCAATGACGAAAAATATTTCATATTGTAGAAGTTGAAGAATAATAGAATGGCGACAGAAACTAGCTCAGAAAACGTTATCAAGAATGATAATGAAATAAATGAGACTGATGAATCAGAAGATCATACACTGAGTGATAAAGAGAAGAACCACAAAAATGAACTCTGTCCAGACTTGAAGGAAAAACTCCTAGGTATACCAGGTGCTTTAGAATACATACAAAAACTAGAGAAACTGATCCTGAAACAAGTGAAGAAAATCAAAAAGCTGAGGAACAAGCTGAAGAATGCAAAGGGCAAAGATGTCTTTACTCAAACAGACTTTGAAGACAAAGCACTGCCTGAAGAAGAGAATGTGGAGACACATAGTGAACCAAAGACTCTGGCAGATGATATCAAACAAGCTGCTGAATTGGCAATGCAAAATACAGGATTTGTTTATGAAGAAACATCTGGAATGTATTATGATTACAATACAGGATATTATTATAATGCAGTATGTATTTACCCAGAAAACCTTTTGTAATTGCAAACCAATCTGATTTTCCAGGAGTATGGACTTTATTATGATGGTACTACAGGCACTTATATGAAATATAACCAAGAAACACAGTCCTATGAATTTCACTCCCAAGTTAGCACTGAGAGCCAGGAGCAAGAAAAAAAATTGAAAAAACAAGTGCAGAAACGAAAAAAGAAAAATGGGCACAGCAATAAAGTAAGCATCAATATCTATGTGTCCAGTTCTCAATTGTTCTGAATATACCTATTGTTTCAATGAATTTTAATGAAGATTTTCTTGTTGTAGGTAAAGAGTTCTTCTGATTTGGAGGGCCTATCAAACTCCTTCAATAAAATGAGCATAGATAATCTTCGAATTGCAGCCCTGGGTATGTATAGGTCAGTAATTCAGTGTTGTTTGTAGGAGGTCAAACGTACCAGAGCAGACAGTACAGACTTGCAGACCCAGGATGTAGAAGAAGGAGAATGTTCAGATAGCTTAGACAGTTCCTCTGAGGATGGTGTACATTCTGATTCAAGTGGTAGTTATTATGATTGTGTGTGATGTCAAATTTAAGAAGGGGTGACTGACCTATATGTCTTAAATCTGAGAAATCTCCCTTGAACTTCAGCAAATCCTAGAAAACATCCAATTCCCTGATATTTACTATCCATGAAAATGAATTCAAAATACTTACCTTAGGTTCAAGAAATTTGGAAAAAAGCATTGCATTTACCCAAAATGACATGGGAATTTACAAAAAATTCTCAAATCTCTAGAAAATTACTATAACCTACATTATCACTTCATAACTAGATTATGATCTTGATTATTCCTATATTTTAACCATTTCAAAATTAGAAGATTTTTTCACAACCTTGTGATAAAATTGATAACTTTCATGACCTGGTCTTGGATCTAACCTTGATCATAACATTAAAAATTTGCATGACAATTTTGCACATTGAGCTATTGATATAAAGCAAAAATAATGATTAAGTGACCTTATTTTTGCCTATGTGAAAAATATATTGAGTGGGCCATCAATTCATTATAGGTTTTTCAGTTGCCTGTTTATTTTAGGACAATCACAACTGAATTTGTTCTGTCCTCAGGTCCTTCATTAAACTTTTAATTCACCTTTGATATATTGATGAAGATATACCTAGAAATATGGTAGAAAACATGGAGTTATTGGGATGAAGAATAAACAATGATTTTTTTGTTCCCTACAAAATGAGAAAACCCAAGTTATATTCATAACATAGTCATCTTTTCTTAGATTTAGTTTTCAATTTCTAGCATTCATCCAAATTTCAGAGACATAGATACTTAAACATGATTTTTGCATAAAAATACATGAGAACTTGGTTCTTGGGTTTCTCTTATAGAAAATGATGAAAATTCACCATGCAACTTATGTTTCCACTTCAAGACCTATTATTTTCAAAACAAACAAAACATATAATTATGTTTTGTGAACACAACAGTCTAATTCCAAAATAAAGTTTATACCACAAATACTGCCCATTACCAATGTTTATAATAATAATTTCAAGTTATTATAGTTACCTTCAACTCACTCAAATTTGTTTCCAATGCAATAATAATGTGGACTCCACATATTTTATAATCACACTATTTTCATGTTTCATTTTCATCTTCATTACACAAACTCTTAGATCTGTGACTAAGATGGCTTCTGTTTCTGTGACCAAACACCAAACACGAGCGGCCATTTTACTTCTTCTTAGTTTAAGAATTCCTATTTCCGTGAGGGGAACTACCACGATTGTGAACTACTTTCCCTTAGGCAGAGTTCTTCTCTCAGTAATGACGATTTTTGAAATTTTGTTTTCAGTGAAAATGATTATAATGATGAACATTGATAGTGATATAATAGCATACCTACCTTTGCAGATATTTTAATCAAACAATCCGGGACCGGGAATTTGTATCTAGTGTGTGATGAGCCAATGCATGTCCAGGAAGAACAGTTTTTTCACAATATGTAAAAAAATCTTTTTAATTTGAATCATGTAGGTATTCTTCCTTTTGACTAACCTCCTGATCAGAAATTGTCAAAGTTGAATTAATTTAGGGTTTATACATACCTGCATTCAAAAATCATGAGGAAAATCATAAATAAAAATTTAAAAATCCAAGAACTAGTTGACTTAATACCTACAAAAAATATACTGCTGTCCTCTCCTGTAAGATAGTTGCATTTTAATTGCAAAAAATAAGGGTTAATTTGCATACAAAGTTCAAAAAATTCCAATACCTCCTCTCACTATCCTCCTTCGGTTTCGAACATTATATAGGGATTCTCTTTCGTGGGCTCCAAAAAAAAACAAAAAACATGAATCCTCTATAAATTTCAATTCTCAAATTTTTCCAGACATCTCCAAGCAATGGCCTCCCTGCATGCGGGTGATAATAGAATCCAGTGACGTGCCGAAGTTGAAGCGGGGCTCTCTACACATAATCACCTTCTCGGGGGGCACGGTGGGGCGCGAGGGGGCCCACTCCATCCTGGTACCGGACATAAACGTCAGCAAGCACCACTTGAAGATCACCTTCGACAAAGAGAGCAGTATGTACAGGGTGTTTGAATATTACTAAAAAAAGATCATCAGGCTGTCTTAGGTCAAAAATAAAAATGATTTTTCATTCAATTCCAGCAATTTTTCATAGAATTCCATGAAACTTTTGATGATCGTTTCATTTAAACATTACTATCTGATGATTTATTCAAATTATGAAAAATATAGGAATATAGTCATTTGTTTGCAATTTTGTTAGATATCTCACTATTCCCACCATGCCCACTTTTCATACATCCCTATACGTTCCCCCAATTCCTACCATACCCACCTTCCTTGGATTCCCACCATGCCCAATTTTCATACATTCTCACGATGCCCAATTAATACGCAGTTTCGCATCTCCCTGTAGATTAAATCATGTTTTTCTATTTTGCGTCTTTAATAATAATAATAATAATAATAATAGGGGCTTTATTTTTAATATCCTCGGCGAAGTCCAGCAAAGCTGTTCTACTTAACCGAGTACCATATTACATTAGATTTAAATAACAATGAACTCATTATGACACCCAAATGAGTATGGAAACAGCTTCTATAGTAGGACCATAGAAATCATATTATATACAGGGTGTTTCATAATTGAATGTCAATATTCGAGGAGGCGATTCTTGGGCTCATTCTAAGAAGAAAGTTTCATATGAACGTATGACCTAAACGTCCCAACTTTGGAGATACAGGGTGGTAAAATTCTCGAAAATTAATATAGCCTACTACAATGAGAAGTTATAATTCGAAAATACCAAATACGAATACAAAGTTCATGAACTATGAATTGTATTTCTGAAATTTGATCTTAAAAATAAAAACTATTTCTCTGCATTGTGATATTATCATATTAACAATATTACTATAATCATGTAGTGAAAAGCTTTTTATTTTTAAGCGAAAACCGTGCATCAGATTGAAAAAATTGTAGTGATCAAATTTGCTTAGAAATGATCGGGAATTTCAGGAATGATTTCAATTTGGAGATTAATCAGTGGCGTACCATCAATGTCTGCCAAAATAGGTATGTGAAATTCCATACGAACGCCACTGGTGGCAACAACAAAAAATGTGGTACGCTAACTGATGCCTCTTGATACATAGTACATGTATGCCAAATTTCATCAGAATATCTGAAGTGGTATTACAGATATTAATAAAAAACTATTAATTTTTGAGAACTTCACCACCCTGTATCTCAAAAGTTAGGATGTTTAGGTCATACGTTCATATGAAACTTTCTTCTTAGAATGGGCCCAAGAATTGCGTCCCCAAATATTGACATTCAATTATGAAACACCCTGTATATCAGTATATATAATATGATTTCTATGAGTAGGACACGCTGATTTTTTTTTCAAAGTTGGTAATGGTGATATCAAACTGTCAGAAGTGTCAAACTCACTATCGTCTAGAGACAGGGCGCAACAAATAATCCATGATGCAGACCGTTTAAATGTTCATATTAATGTTTCACATATTATATTTTATGAACAAAATAATCTCTAATAATCATGTACTCTGCTTTGAATGGTGCAATTGTTATACAGGGTGAGCCATTGAAATGGGAAAGTGAGATAACGGCTTCGCTGTTCGAGATAGATGAATAATAATTCTTGTGATGGTCTATGTACTTAGGCTCATGAGCAGCATTTTTCTAAATCACTTTGCGTATACAGGGTGACTCAAATATGCGTTGCGTATCAAAGTAATACTTTTTATTATAGGACACCCTGTATTTTATTGCATTTTCGGATTCTCCTTTGTGAGCTGATTCCATCAATGCATCACACTCGGGATCTAGCGGGAATGATCACAGAAATATACATATATAGGGTGTTTAAAATCGAGATTTTTCAACTTTAGGATTTTTTTGTTTTGAAACTATTAATTATTGGTCAGGACGGCTCACTTGTACTCATCTCAACTTTTGATTTACTTTATCTACTGATATGTAATTTTAAAGAATACAGGGTGGTTCATTATTCTGAATTTTGAATCACCCCGTATTCGTTCAAATTAAATATCAGTAGATAGTAAATCAGAAGTTGAGATAGAGACATGTAAGCCGTTTTGACCAATAATGAATATTGTCGACCCAAAAAAATCCTAAAGTTGAAAATTCTCGATTTTGAACACCCTATGTCTCTGTAATCATTCTCGCTAGACCCCAAGTGTGATGCATTGATGAAATCAGCTCACAAAGGAGAATCCGAAAATGCAATATAGGGTGTCCCATAAGAAAAAGTATAATTTTGATACGTCACGCATTTTTGAGTCACCCTGTATAACGCGAAATATTTTGTTAATGTGCTGCTCATGAGCCTAGACTATCACAAAAATTCTTGTTCATCTATCTCAAACTGCGAAGCCGTTATCTCACTTTCCAATTTCGATGACTCACCCTGTATACATCAACAATAACATCACAGGGATCTCGAGCATTTATTATCAAATTTGCTGCTGTTATGGAATAGGTAATAAAAAGTAAAACGGCGTTCCATATGCTGTACAAAACAATTGAGCTACCTCAATATTTTTCGTCACAGAAGCTTCTATGTAACTTTCAGCAATTTCTGATTATTTCCATCCTCCATAGATTTTTGTAGTGACCAAATCACCGCCTCTTTTTGCTTAATGGGACACACTAGAACGCCGAAATAAACAATGTCCTGTATAGCCGTTTGGGCAAAAAAGTTTGCCTCTTCAGTTTTTCTCAAAACAGAAAATTCAGATTTTCAATAAACCAACAATTTAAATCACTAGAATAATGATGTTAATTTGAATAATACCGTATGCAAATTTAACATGTCTTAGAAAGTATATGCTTATTAATTTCGAAATCGGTTCGTTTCTAGAAATGATTTGAGGAGCAATAAAAGTCTCTGAATCGAATAATTCACATAATCCGGTAACTAAATGATGCCAGAGGCGTACTACGAAAAAGTTTGGGGGGATAAAGAAACCTGTACCCTCAAAAATGTATCACCCAGTAGATTTTGAAAATCATCAAAATAGTTTGAATGATGATCTTCCAGGAAGTAACAACCTCACTAAATTTCAAATTGATAACTTCAATAGTGAGCAAGATATTTTAATTAATAGAAAAAAATAATTAATCTTTCAATTATGAAAAGCATCCATTTCTCAAAGTGGTTCAATGTAATTTCAAGAGAGAAATGAAAGAAAACAACACAGACCGACTTTGTGTATTCTTTCATTTTTCTTTTGATCTTGTAGATCTGCTACTGATGATAGAGATCGGACTCATGTTTCTATAAACTTTTTCTATCAAAATGATGAGATCTATCACATATTTCAGTTTATGGCTTAAAACCTGAATCACCCTGTATAAAAATCGGTGTTTTCAAGGTCAGTACTTGGTCGTCGATTTGGGTTCGAGAAATGGTACTTTGCTGAACGGCAAAAGGATATCGTCCTCGAAACAAGAAAGCGACCCTGTAGCTGTGACGCACGGCAGCAAAATTCAAATCGGGTCGACGATTTTTTTGTGTCACGTGCACGAAGGGAATCAGACGTGCGGACATTGCGAACCCGGTTTGATCCAGTCGAAAGGTATCTTTATTTTCTCTTGTTTTGTTTTTTTTTTCACCAAATTTTCAGAGAATTCAGCTTAATGGGGGAGACCACTGATTTTTTAAAATGACATTATCGTGAACTCTATACTGAAAAACTACCAGCGAATTAATTTTGAATTTCGTCATTCATGCTAAGACGATGAAAATAATAAATTAGAATATGTCCATTTCAAAACACACAATTCCTGCGCCATTAGAAATGTTGTCAATTCATTGGTGTGACTGGTGCGACGTCTTAGTCCCAACACGCCTATTGTCCTTGAACTGACCAATCACACTGCAACACTGCAGAATGACGAGTTATCAGAGAGAGATAGCCTCAGTTCGGGACTAATACGTCACGACTTCACCATCATATTTGGCTGTTTGAAATATGCTAATTTCAAAACTCAAATACCTTTCAATTTCATATTTTTTGATCGATTTTTCGGTGTTAAAATCATCAATAATGCCACGATAATTTTTAATCGACTAGAAATTTACCGCCTCTAATTCTCAATTGAATATTGGTAATACTCGTAATTATCAATAAAAATTCACTTGTCTCAAAATGTTCCCTCATGATTTGTGGCTCATTGATTATGATGAATTTGTGTGAATTATAATTATATTAATTTACACTAGAGGACATTTGAATCGGTGAACCTGGCAACCACGGCGCACGACTTGTGGGCGTGGTCTTGTCAGTTCTCAGCATTCAGCACAATGTTGCCAAGTCTCCGACATTCAAATGATATGTTGATATAGAGAATAAAAAATATTTGGACGATACAGTGGAAAAATTGAATGCCAATAATTCATTATCAGTCCACTCGCTTCTCATGAAACGGCATAACTTCCCCAAGTATCAATTTTTCTGGCCCAGAGTAACGTATTTTTAATATACCTTAAACAGTTTCGTTTCCTTAATTTTTTTCTCAAATTTCATCAAGTTTTTACCTTGGAGGCAAAAATGAAAATTCAAAAACATCCTCTCTTCCAAATATCACATTTCATCCAACCTGAAAAGACGTGGTGATTCCGAAACTGTACTTATTTTGGCACAATTTCAGACGATTTTCCTGGAAATATTTATGTTTTCTTATTTCATCGGGTGATATCGACAATTTTAAAACAGTTTTTTTTTCAAATATCCAACCTTAAATGATGTGCAGATTCCGAATCTATAACTATTCTGGTTCTAATTCAGGCAGTTCTGATTTTTTTTTCTTCAATCTTGGGGAAAAAATCCGAAAATTTCTCTTTTCCAAATATTACTTTGTATCCAAACTGAAATGGCATGCTGATTTCAAATCTATAACTGTTTTATGGTTATATTCCTGGAATTATTTTTTTTCTGAATTGCAAAAAAATCGGAAAATTTTAAAACCGCTTTTTTTCAGATATAACTTTCTATCCAACCTAAAATGAGTTTCTGATTTCGAATCTGTAACTATCCTGGCTTTAGTTCAGACAGTTTTCCTGTTTTTTTTTTATTTCCACCAGTTGTATCTGGGGGAAAATTCCGAAAAGTTTTTAACGGCTTTTTTCTCAAAATATCCCTTTCTATTCTACTTCAAATGACATGCTGATTCCGAATCTGTACCTATTTCATCTCTATTTCAGACAGTTCTCCAAATTTGTTATCCAATTTCATCAAGTCTATCTTGGGAAAGTATTGGAAAATTCCAAAACAACCTCTTTTTCGAATATCCCTTTGTATAGTGCTCTAAAATTTTTCAACTGTCTGCCGCAAGCAATAAAAAAGATTGAGCAGACCAGTGGTTTTGTGGGGTCACTGAAAGCATACTTGACTGAGCTGGAGCCCTATACAGTTGAGGATTATTTAAAGTCTTCACTTGAATTCGAGCTAGGTACTTGATGTTTGTATTTTTTGTATTTTTGTTAGTATTTTTTTGGTATTTTTTTATCTATTTTTCTGTAATTCAACTTGTCCCAGATAACGTGTTTTTACTTTTACTTTTACTTTTATGTGTATACCTAAATGCTAAAGCTAGTTTCATCTTATGGGCAAAATGTTATTCAACTGTGCCATAAATGAATTTGTAAAACTTTGACCTGTTTCATAGACCAATCAATTTTTTTTGTTTTTCGTATAAAATGGGAAATTGTAATCTAATGAAATCAATAAATTTATATTCTATTCTATTCTATCCAACTCAGAATGGGCGTGTACACCTCAGTAGAACTTTTAACTCAAACGATGTTTATAATGATCCTTTTATATACCTAAATAATGATTGATGACATAATTCGATCGAAAAATTAACTGGAATGTTTTATTTTCGGACATAAATAGTACCTTCTGAAAACGGACCCTCTTACGACGTAGAAACCTCATCTCGCCATAGTTGAAAGAAAATACCAAACGCCCGACGGAGACTGAGGCAACTGATATATTAATTCTTTCAACTGTGATTTCGCGCTAATTCACTCTGTCAGAAATCATGTATCATTCATCTCTGTCTGGAATAGTCTTGTTTCAATATTAGGGTTTTGACGTCACATCATCGCCTCGTTTTTGAGAGGTCCGAAAAATCGGGGATTTCAATAATTTTTTATAAAACGTAGGGAGCTCACCACAAGAAACGGTTTGCGGTGGTGAGCTAGTTTGGGTCAGTTCTATCGAATTATGAAATACAAATTTTTTGTGATATAAGCCCATTACGTACTGATTCCGAATCTTTGACACTTGTTGCTATTGTTACATTTCTTCTAGAAGAAATTCCATAAATTCTAAAAGACCATTTTTTGTTGGTGCCAATTGTGGCTCGAGTACTGAGTGTGGAATTTATTTTCCAGAAGAAGAAATACAGAAAGTGGACAATACTACCAGGACTGACAGATACAGAAAAGAACTGAAAAACCTGAGGATGATGTACGGGGTAGCTCACGCAGAAGATGATACGAAATTAGCCAAAGGCTATACAGACAGGGCACAAAAAAGAAGAGAGACCATTGGAAGCCAAAATCCACACGAAAAGACCCAAACCGCTTCCATAGACGAGTAAGAATTCATTCATACAGAAAATAGATTTTATTTTCAATGATTGGAACTTTCAGCTGTACACTGAATATTATTTCAAGATCACCTTGTATGATATTTTCAATGTCGATAATTTGGAAAAATACTAATATTTGTATTCATAGAGGCGGGAAGAGAAAACCCAAAACTATCCTCTCGGTTACCTTACAGACAGTAGTTGAAAATTATTTTGTCTTTATTTCCAGGTCTATCAATAAAGAAAATAAGGGGTTCAAAATGTTGGAGAAAATGGGATGGAAACAGGGGGAGTCTTTAGGAAAAGATGGCGAAGGATTATTAGAACCTGTAAGGATATATTTTTACACAACCTGATTTTATATTTTATTTTCATAAGCTAAATCAACATCAAAATTATATAAAAAATGTTTTGCTATGATTATTTTTTAGGTTAAATTGGTGTCAAATGAAGGGAAATCTGGTGTTGGTTCTACTGAAAGTGTAGTACAATCATTTGTTCCGAATGAGCGGCAAGAAATATGGAAGAAAACACAGGAGAGATTCCAAAAACTACCCGCTACTCAGGATTCTTTTGATGTAGATTTGGAAGATTAGAATTGTTTCTAATATAATAGGTCTCTTGTTGCATGAAATATTATATAGGTGAATATATTTTAACTAATTTATTAGGTTCATTGTTTTTAATAAACTGTTTATTAAATTTCGATAAAGACATTGTGTGTTTTATTACTCAACGAAGGCACTGATTACGGATCAGAATATTCGAAATTTGTGGTAAAGGAGAAAAGAGTTTAAAATTAAAGATAGTAAATGTCAAGAAAAAGAACAATTTTCTGAATAACAACACTTTCAAATTCTAGTTTTTGTCTTAATAGGTACATATAGGCGAGCAAAAGTTTCGTTACCTATTTCAGTTCATGAATATATATTGGCTAAAACGTTTTCTAGATATTTTTCGAGCAACGATTTTTTTTTTCAAACCACAGCATCCTTTATACAGAGTGTTCTTCAATGTTGAAGTTCATAATATGAGCGTTTGTTCTAACTTACTGCATTTTCGAGATACAGGGTGTTCAAATTAAAAATATCTACTGACTTTATTCTCATGATCACTCAATTCAACCATCCATAATAGCAAAATTCAGTCGGTGACTGACAATTTGACAAAATTTCAAAAATAATACTAGTTATACTGTTATTGAGTACCTACCTACAAAAATACTCAGTTATTCTAGGAAAAAAATAATTAGAAACTAAATATGATGCAATGATATGGAAAAATATTTTTGCTAAACGAAAAATAATTCAATTCGACATTCTGATGGCTCAAATCTTAATTTATTAATTCTGATCCTGATTCAATTACTCCAGTGAAAAATATCTCTTGGAATATGATTTCATGTTCAAATTGACTTCAAAACTGTGCATTTCATCATATATTCCTAGTGAACTCTATCATGAAGACTTCCAGGTGAGTGGACTATTTTTTTTTTCTTGAATAGCATCATATCATTCAAGTACCTTTCAATTTCATATTTTTTCAGAATTCTTCGGTCGATTTAAAGGTGCCAAAATCATCAATAATGCCACCATAATTTTCGAACGGCTAGAAATTTACCGCGAGTAATCACTGATGACGTCACGATTTAGTATAAGTAGGGGCAGACTATAGCACCGTTGCCATATGTTGAAATACGGTTGGGCGAACTTCAGAAATATTAGTTATTCAATAATCCATAAATTCTCAACTCAATTATATGTATTGGTAATATTCCTAATTAGCATTGAAAAATCAATTATCTCAAAATGTTCCGACAGGTGATGTGGCTTATTGGTTATGATACATTTGTGTAAATAATAATTATATTAATTAGAGGACATTTGAACCGGTAAACGCTCGGGTAAACGTGACAACACGGCGCGTAAAATGAGAGCGTGGTCTTATCAGTTCGTCATTTATTCGCCGTACCGCCAAATGGCGGCCATATGACGGTACGTTTGAAATGAACTATGATATTCATCAGTTTATTGGAACAACGCATATATAGACTCATTATTCACATAAAAAAGCGTGATAAGTATTGCAAAAATTGATTTAGGTTCCTAACGACACAGTGGAGTAATTATTGAAACCCAATAATTCATTATTAGTCTTCTATATCATAATATGTTAAAATAATTGCTTACAGTTATGGGCTGAAAGTCGGCGGTCTAAGCCGACCCTGTTCAATACTTTCTTGAAACGCAATTAATGTATTTACTTATATTTTCGAAATAGGCATTGAAAGTTAAGTAAGCATAATAAAATAAATATTCCATCCCATCTTAAACTTCACGAAAATTATGAAAACACACCATCTACATACAGAGTAGATTCTTTAGAAGATGCGTCAATTTTCGACCCATGATTGTTTCTAGCTTTTTCTCTTATTTTTCGTCGAGGAATTTACCTACTAACTGCCAAAGTATGGTTGCTAATTATGGGTACACCCTGTATAGTTTCAACATCTTGACCCAAGAAATCTGGCCCTACAATTGAATGTCACATTCAGCCTATATTATTTTAAGACAAAAACATCAGCAAAAAATTGATGATTTCCAATTTAATTTGTATATGTATATCTTCGGGGTTCGTTAGCCGCGTATTTTCTTCATTCCCGCGTCATAAAATACATATTGACAGACCTTAATGCACCTTTTATATAACGAATCTAATAGTCTATATGAGTCTAATACACTCTTTTGAAGTATACAAAAGCGGCGTCGTGACGGCTTGATAGATGAAGTCTAGCTAAGTTTATTAACTAGTCACGGCCAGACGCCTCTACAATGAATGCACCGCAAGCAGGGGCGTCAGCTCAACCCCCCAAGGGGTTAAGCTAGACACCTAAAATAATAATGATAAAAAACTTATTGACAGCCAATCGATAGATGACCTCATTTCATGAGAAAAGATTCCACATGAACATGAAATACAATTATGTCGTCTAGAAGCTTACGTTTGCTTTCACTTCGATTATGAAGTCCACTGAATTTGTTCCTGTTTTGAAGTTAATATATAGGATAAATTTTTTGAAATATTATTGAAATTCACTATATTCCATAACATGAAAAACGGTGGAAATGAATTCTTGCTACGTGTAAAGGCTCTGATTTATTGTTGAGAAATATGAAATTTGAGAGAGATGATGGTTTATTGGTAAAAAAGAAATTTAATGATTTCACAAGATTCGATTGATTGACATATCGTTGTTTTTTTATGTTTTGGTCCCCACGAAAAGGGATATCCTATAATGTTCAGAGAACATCGTGAGAACCAAGGGAAATAAGGTAGGAATTGGTGTTCTCCTTGAATTTCTGGAGGTTATATGCCTCGGGGAACACCTTTCTTGCACTTCTTGCAATTGATCTCACGTGATTTTCCCAAGAAAGGTTATTGCTGATAGTAATCCCAAGCATCGAAATGGATGTCTTCAAAAGTATGGTTACTCCTGACAAGCTTATGTTGAGCACAGTGTAATCGGCTTTTCTAGAGAAAAGGCATGCTTGTGTCTGGTTTGCATTGAAATCTACTAAGTTATTGGATCCCCATTCGAGAATTATCGCCAAGTTCGTATTCATATTTCATATTTCATATGAAATAAGAATGTGACGAGAAACGCAACTTTCAGCATTGAGGAGTTGCGATAGAATTATGGAAATTTTTCCAATAAAACGGAAGGCTCTAGCTGGAATCCAATGAGATCAGACTCTTCTTCTACGAAATTTTTCGCAGTTTCGAGACAACAAATGAAAATTTGTATTTTTCACCACGTGTCTGTTTGTCTATCTGTCTCTCTAACTGTTTCTAAGTATATCTGTCTGTCTGTTTGCAACAAATTTTGTAATTTAATTTTCACTTACATTCCTTTAACCGATTGAGATGAAATTTGGCAAGTGTGAATTGGATTTTCCGTTAAAATACGATTTGAACTTGCAAAAAAAGCCCCATGGAACGAAAGGTCAAATCTCATCTAGCGATACAAAAAATCCATTTTTTGTGTTGAAAAACGGGAGCAGAAACGTCCAAAGCTAAGTAAGAATTTGCCCTATACCTTTATTTCTCTTCTCCAAACTTTTTTCAATTCGAATTGTCACTGACAAGCTAGTGAATTTTTCTTTTAGGCTCCTTGATTGGGAAATTCTTTAAACGCAGTGACAATTTGGGGCAAATCATCTGATGTGTCCTCACTACACGTATATTGAAATAATATTCATATTTTTATTTTATAGAAACCAGGAGAGAAAATCCCAAAAAACCTGGAATAATCAAAATGAGATTATTTACTTTGGGAGCTGTGATATTTTGATCAGCATTTTCTAGTGGGAACCGCCACTGATGCCAACAGTATTTTCCGTGGTATAACCGCACATTTTATTCTTTTTATGCAATCAATCTTCATGCGTTTCTGAAACGATGGCTGAGCAAGAGAAATCGCTCGGTCCAGACGCGGTGACGTTCAGGAATATGCAGGATAATGGTTACTCTTTCATACCCACCGGTATAGGTCTGTTCTCTAATCTACTTTGGAAATTGGAAAATGAAAGCAGCAGGGTCGAATAACTTTCGGGATATATCAGAGCGTTCTGAAACTTCCACTCAGAGAAGAACCTCGGTCATGTAAGCTCCCGGCCGGCCAGCTCCACGCGGCTTTTTTCCACCACGGTCAATCTTTTCCACAGATGTCGATTCACACGTTTATAGTATCTTTTCGGATGTTTGATCACTTTATGATACATTTCTCACAGGAAAATGGATATAACTGAGCGATAAATGTGGTTCAATTGAAAAAAGTGGGCGATCACTATCAGCATGAAGACCTGCTCCAAGGTGTAAGGAGCGCGATCATTTTCAAACCGCACAATGAAGTTTTTATTTTCAGAACGAATAAGAGGATATACAGAGTTATGAGGATATAGGGACTGTCAATATGATAGCAAAATGCCATTCACAAATGTCCAAAACCGCTTCGTTACTGACATACGGAGTGATTTGTGGATGTTGCCAAAAAATCAGCATTTCGTATTGACTACAAGGAATACCTGATTGGTAAAATGAGGCGTACAACGCCTTCACAAGCTAGACGAATAAAGGAATACAAACACAATGTAGACAACTTTTCTGTCTCATTATTTCGACGTATGAGGGCCCGCTCAAAGGTTAAGGATTTCTCTTCGATACTGCTCGACATGAAATTTAAAATCATTCTCTTACTTGAAAAATGGACGGCCAGAGCCGGCATCAAGCTGGACGAATGCAATGACTTGAAGACTAAATACACAATTTTTTTCATCTCATTATTGCGACGTATAAGGGCCAGCTCCAAGGTTCAGAGTGCCGGTTCCTCTTTGATACTGCTCGACATGGAATATAAAATCATTTTCATACTTGGAAAATGGACGGCCAGAGCCGGCATCAAGCTGGACGAATGAAATGATATAAAGACTATATACACAATTTTTTTCATCTCATTATTGCGACGTATAAGGGCCTGCTCCAAGGTTCAGAGTGCCGGATCCTTTTCGATACTGCTCGAAATGGAATATAAAATCATTTTCATACTTCAAAAATGGGCGGCCAGAGCCGGCATCAAGCTGGACGAATAAAATTATATAAATACTATATACATGATTTTTTCATCTCATTATTGCGACGTATAAGGGCCAGCTCCAAG